ACCAAAGATCGGATTTTTATTTATTATCAAGAAAGAAAGAATTACCCAACAATGTTTACACCATGGAGGCTACAGTGATATTTTCCCCTTTACCTTTGGGTTCTATCATGTAATAATTACACAATGAAATTTGCATTTCTTTATCTTTATTCGCTATAAAGGACATACAGTCTACGTTTTTTTAGTCCTTACCATTTGCAGTATCCTTTAGATGAAACGCTTATAACAAACTACGGTTATAACGAACAAAAAATATTGGTCCCTTTGAGTTCGTTATAACCGAATTTTTATGTAGTCCAATGTGCAGAAATTCAGTGTGTAAGTGAGTTTGGTTTAACTCTGCTTTTGACAGTATTCCAGTTATATCACGGCGTGTCAGATTAATGTTGGAGGAAAGCCCGAAGTGATGCAGGTCTCAGACATTTACCACTTCGGTGAAACCCACGAGCACGGGTATGGTACTGACAAACCCAGTACCGGGGCGAACCGGGATTCGAACCCACAATCATGGGTTCTGGCGTGCCCTAGGGACGCAACTCTGCACAGCGAATCGCGGCGCCTTAGACGACTGGGCCACCCGTGCCCCCTCAGAAATTCAGAAGGATTCATTTTTCAGGGTAGGTACGTTCATACCGATGGGTACGTCCGTACATTTTATGAACATGTCTTGATATAAAAGCTTCTCACACCAATTTTGAAATATTCATCCTATTACAAGGTATAAACATTACATTTCTCACGTAAGGTAAGCTGTGTATTTTATCTTAAAGCAGTTAAGTAGGGGCATGCCAATACATATCGTGATACTTATGAATGAAATACTTATATGTGTAAAAAGAAGTCGAATTTCACAACTTGTGGCCGATACATTTGTCTTGAGAGAATATGTTTCAATTGAACCTATGCTATACGTTGGAAGTGATGGATTACCTCTGTTACATGTGAGGTTCGTTGGCCCTATTTTTATACTTTTATCAACATGACGTGGCATTGACTGTCAATAACGTTGTCGCGAATGCAAAAGACTTCGTGAGTTAGGTCTATATATAACAGGAATGCAATGGTATAAAACGTGTAATCATCCCCAGCAATGTTCACTCGCTGCAGTTCACAACGTGTCGTTCACTCCATATTGACAGTTGTTCCAGTCATACATCAGACGAAAGACGTATATATTTATATGTCTTTGATCAGACAAGGCACAACGTGACTGTCCTCGCAGTAGGAAGGTACGTTTTAAGGTCCAATATAAGTACAGTGTCGACTGAATGAGTATGTCACATTAAGCAATATTCCAGCAACATCACGACGGGGGACACCAGAAATTGGCTTCACATATGTGTATCCATGTGTGGAATCGAACCCGGCCCTTCAGCGTGACGAGCGAACGCCGTTACCACGAGGCTACCCAAACGCTGGGTTGTAACGAGTTACAAGAATCAGACGGATAAATGTGGGTTCGATTCCTAGATTCGTCACGGTACTAATCATGTGGGATCAATGTACGATCATTTGATCACGACCAATGATACTTTCAGTTGTTATGCCTGACATACTGTTTGAATGTGAGTGAGTATTGTTTTACGCCGCCACTAGCAATATTCCAGCAATATCACGGCGGGAGACGCCAGCAATGGGCTTCACATATTGTGCCCATGTGGGAATCGAACCCGGGTCTTCAGCGTGACGAGCGGCAGCATAAACGTTACTTGCTAAGGTATGTACATAAACGTTACTTGCTGAGGTATGTACATAAACGTTACTTGCTGAGGTGTGTACATAAACTTTACTTGCTGAGGTGTGTACATAAACGTTACTTGCTGAGGTGTGTACATAAACGTTACTTGCTGAGGTATGTACATAAACGTTACTTGCTGAGGTATGTACATAAACGTTACTTGCTGAGGTGTGTACATAAACGTTACTTGCTGAGGTGTGTACATAAACGTTACTTGCTGAGGTGTGTACATAAACGTTACTTGCTGAGGTATGTACATAAACGTTACTTGCTGAGGTATGTACATAAACGTTACTTGCTGAGGTGTGTACATAAACGTTACTTGCTGAGGTGTGTACATAAACGTTACTTGCTGAGGTATGTACATAAACGTTACTTGCTAAGGTATGTACATAAACGTTACTTGCTGAGGTGTGTACATAAACTTTACTTGCTGAGGTGTGTACATAAACGTTACTTGCTGAGGTGTGTACATAAACGTTACTTGCTGAGGTATGTACATAAACGTTACTTCCTGAGGTATGTACATTAACGTTACTTGCTGAGGTGTGTACATAAACGTTACTTGCTGAGGTGTGTACATAAACGTTACTTGCTGAGGTATGTACATAAACGTTACTTGCTGAGGTATGTACATAAACGTTACTTGCTAAGGTATGTACATAAACGTTACTTGCTGAGGTGTGTACATAAACTTTACTTGCTGAGGTGTGTACATAAACGTTACTTGCTGAGGTGTGTACATAAACGTTACTTGCTGAGGTATGTACATAAACGTTACTTCCTGAGGTATGTACATTAACGTTACTTGCTGAGGTGTGTACATAAACGTTACTTGCTGAGGTGTGTACATAAACGTTACTTGCTGAGGTATGTACATAAACGTTACTTGCTGAGGTATGTACATTAACGTTACTTGCTGAGGTGTGTACATAAACGTTACTTGCTGAGGTGTGTACATAAACGTTACTTGCTGAAGTATGTACATTAACGTTACTTGCTGAGGTATGTACATAAACGTTACTTGCTGAGGTGTGTACATAAACGTTACTTGCTGAGGTATGTACATAAACGTTACTTGCTGAGGTATGTACATTAACGTTACTTGCTGAGGTGTGTACATAAACGTTACTTGCTGAGGTGTGTACATAAACGTTACTTGCTGAGGTATGTACATTAACGTTACTTGCTGAGGTATGTACATAAACGTTACTTGCTGAGGTGTGTACATAAACGTTACTTGCTGAGGTGTGTACATAAACGTTACTTGCTGAGGTATGTACCGAAACGTTACTTGCTGAGGTATGTACATAAACGTTACTTGCTGAGGTATGTACATAAACTTTACTTGCTGAGGTATGTACATAAACGTTACTTGCTAAGGTGTGAACATAAACGTTACTTGCTGAGGTATGTACATAAACGTTACTTGCTGAGGTATGTACATAAACTTTACTTGCTGAGGTATGTACATAAACGTTACTTGCTGAGGTATGTACATAAACGTTACTTGCTGAGGTATGTACATAAACGTTACTTGATTAATAATTATTATTATTATAATTATTATTATTATTGGAGAGTGTGTGAGTGAGTGAGTATGGTTTTATGCCGCTTTTAGCAATATTCCAGCAATATCACGGCGGGGGACACCAGTTATGGGCTTCACACATTGTACCCATGTCGGGAATCGAACCCGGGTCTTCGGCGTAACGAGCGAACGCTTTAACCACTAGGCTACCCGACCGCCCCTATTATTATTGATAGTAGCAGTAGCAGTAGTAGTAATGGTAATAGTAGCAGTAGCAGCAGCTGTAGTAGATGTTGTGGTAGTAGTGGTGGTGTTAGTGGTAGAAGTAGCATTATTAGTCGAAACACACAGCTGATCATGATCAGACGTGGGCATATCAATAGAAGCGTTAAGTTCAAACTGACGTGGATGTATTATAAACATGACGTGGGTATATTAACAAAAGCACGTGAATACAACCTGCTACAAAGATTACGATTGTGTAACACATTGTCTCAGACGTGGACCTATTAATAGAAACACATACGATCTGATTAAAGTATTTTACTATGACGTGGGTTTAATAATAGCACACTATCTCAGACGTGGACCTATTAATAGAAACACATACGATCTGATTAAAGTATTTTACCATGACGGGGGTTTAATGATAGCACACTATCTCAGACGTGGACCTATTAATAGTGTTACACCATATCAGATACCGGGATATATTTATAAAAGTACACACGATCTAATCGACGGGGGCGCGTTTTGGTAGGATGTGTGTATATTAATAAAAGTACGAAAACACAACCTGCTACAAAGATTATTATTGACAAACTAAATCACATTCAATTTCTCCCTGACTTTATCATCCGTTACCTAAACAGAATCCAAAATGAATGATTGTCCGGACTCTTCACATGATATGAGAGAGTATAGTTTTACGCCGCTTTTAGCAATATTCCAGCAATATCACGGCGGGGGACACCAGAAATGGGCTACACACATTGTACCCATGTCGGGAATCGAACCCGGGTCTTCGGCGTGACTAGGGAACGCTTTAACCACTGGGCTACCCGACCGCGCCCACATGATATGAGCTGACGGGAAGACACAGACACAAGTTATCTCTTACATTTATTGAAGACGCTGTCACGCCATGTATTGAAATGTGCTCCTCATCCATCCCTGTGTTCGTACACAGTAGCTTCACTGTATCTTTTGATTCTGTAGCAATGGTTTGCAGTTGATATCCATTAAAAAAATCAGACTGATTTGATCAGTTATTTAATTTTATTTGTTTTTTGTACTCTCAGAATATGTCTGAGACTATTAATTTGCACTTTCTGATCCTCCATCGTCACATTTTAAAAAAATGTGGATATCAATGTCATATGTCATCGATACAATTTTGTCACCAATAACAATATGTTGACAGTTGTGACCCACCAGGAGAAAATGGACCTTATAAGTGATAGGACACACCTGTGCTTTGACCTTATAAAAACTGTTGACGTCAGCGTACTTCAGTGAAGATCGCCATGTGCCATGTATCTCTGTAATAAATATCAGGTGAGGTGAAATTGGGTCCAAGATTATTGCACTTATATAGCGACGTGCATGCACGTGTGTGTATGTGTGTTTGTGTGTGGCTGCTTGTACTAGACCGGACTGATGCCGATTTATAGTGCTAGCTCACTGAGATAACATGCCGCAGTTTAACATGAATACCCCACTCACACACCGTATACTGACTCCGTGCCGACCAGTCCTTGCTTTAACCCTTAATGCCGAGCGCCAGACAGGGTAACAACAAATACCATCTTTTAACGTCTTTTGGTATGACGCGGTCGGGGATCGAACCCCGGACCTTCCGCTCTCTTGGCGGACGCTCTACCACTAGACCACGGAGGCGGTCTGTAGTTTGAAATAATAATGAACCCATAAGTTCACTTATCTCATGGCTAGTCACAGTTATAGGGGCATCAATAGAGTACGACATCATTTACCATGACAAAACAAATTCTTACTGGTCCCTTGTTTCAATCAATCTGAAAACCACACATGCCGGTAATGAGTACTATGAGGTAAAACCACGATGGATATTAGTAGGTACATGTTGTAGCACTAAGTGTTTTACAATAATGCGTTTCTACTTACAGAAGCAACGCTATATATTTTATAAAACAACAATTGAATGTTTCAGAAAGAGTCACTCACAACAATGTCATGGACACCACAAACGTCAATCTCAGCAACGACGTTACCGGCCAGAACGTCAGCATCGGTTCAACAGGGGCAGGTCCTTCTGGAGACAGGGCTGGAGAAAAAGGTAACGGAACGAATGACCTTGTGTGACGTAACAATTATTAAGACATCGGAACCTCCAACACTAATGTTATAATGATGTATAAATTAAAAAAACAAAACAATATCGCAAATTAAATTCCCCGAGTACAATTGATTTCTTTAGGCTTTTGATCGAATTACAGATATGCCCTGGTTATGATTTTTGGTTCGAGTGTTTCACTAAAGTGGTACAGAAATTACTTCTGTCATATTCACCCAATGAAAGCTGAATCGTCATAACCAAATTGTGATGTACTGTTCAAAGAGGTGTTAAAGCAAACTCACGGGACTTTGATCGGAATTTCAATCCCTGATTTACCCCAATTGACACATGATCCCTTGTTGGACTAAACCTGCCTCGCTTTAGCGTGATAGAACCAGAACACTCTACACTGCAGTATTAAACACTTCTCACGCACTGACTGCGTACTTGCTGTGGTAAATAGGTTCAAAACTCAAATTTCGAACATCAAGCGTGTCGTTGCAATCTCGCGTATACCCTTTTGCTTGAAGAAGGAATTCGAATATGAAGCTCTGATTCCCTTCATTTCAGGTCACAACCTCTCACCAGAGCAGCTACTGCAGCTTTTGGAGGAACACCAATGTTCCGATGGAACGATTCAAACCTTCTTTGAGAACAAAGTTGGGGGAAGACTTTTTTGGATGTGAATGATGCCCTCCTCGATGAACTGAAAATTAAAAGTTTGATAGAAAGGAAGAAGATTGAGATGCTTCAAGAAGGAAATAGCCAATACAGACTCATCTGAACAGCTTGTACATACAACACACATCTCTGATAACTATCTAGCCAGACTAGAGTTGTAATACCTGAAATAATTGAAAAATAATGCATTTCGTAATAAGGATTGGAGAGTGAATACAATTAATGGCAACCCCTTTGTAATTTGAGAAAGCTGAAAGTAACCAACATTAATGAACAGTGGGTTGTTTGGGGACAAGAAAAAGCTTGTTGTGACTTTAGCACGTTGCATTGTATTCAACTTCGTAGTATCCGACATTTACTGTGTCCGCATAGTGCTACATTAAGGTTAGCAAGTAAGATTATTTCTCATTCAGTGATAAAGTTTGAGTACAGTCTTTATCTGGTGTCAATGCGAGACAAACGATATTATCACATATAACATGTGATCCACATATTTGCATTTATCTTTGTGCGTCAGTGCTGTGGCTGTGGTTTCGCAGTCGCTTTGGTAATGGTGCACAAAGTGTAATACAAATATGTCAGCTTTACAAACAACTTGAAAACTGTTCAAAGAAACTCAAAAGAGGATTTTTGTTACGATCGTGGAGTAGTTTAATTGAATAGCATCAATGCAAAAAGCATCCTGTATCTTTACGTTTGTACAAACGGATCTTAAATTTGTCGAGACTGGAACTTTCGCATAGTGCTACATTAAGGTTTAAGTTAGCAAGAAAGATGATTAATTTCTCATTCAGTGATAAAGTTTGAGTACAGTCTGTATCTTGTGCTAATGCGAGACAAACGATATTATCACATATAACATGTGATCGCCTTATTTGCATTTATCTTTGTGCGTCAGTGCTGTGGCTGTGGTTTCGCAGTCGCTTTGGTAATGGTGCACAAAGTGTAATACAAATGTGTCAGCTTTACAAACAACTTGAAAACTGTTCACAGAAACTCAAAATACTTTTTTTTAGATACAAATTCATGCTTCTTAAATGTGTCGAAATTGGAACTTTGTGTTGAGAAAAGAGCAAATGTCGTTTAAATACACACATTTTACCGTGCAAATTAAATGCAAATATATGGTGCAGATGAGTCAGTAGGCACGAGAGACAACGTAAACACGCTTTGCTATAGTTCACGTCCAGTTCTCATCATTTATAAGTTTAAGGGTAAGATAACATACGACGTTAGAAATCACCGAAATAACATAAATGGATTAGTGCACTTAAAGAAAAACGTCGCCTTTACAAACTAAGGTTTGACTGTCTGAGACACACATTTCTCACATGATTGTAAATGTTCAAATAAATTCATGTGTGTATGTTGTTGAAGGTTAATGTTATATTCGTCATAGTTCTTTACAATGGTATCTTCGCATCGACTAACTCGTATCTGAACTCGTACTCGTGTACAAGTGTTTAGACAGGAGTATTGAGTAGTAGGGTATGTTCCAAATTATAAATATTTCGTGTGCAAACTAAGTGTAAATCTACCATTAGGCTGGTAAATGTCATATTTTCATTGTACCATTCTTGTTTTGCCTTGTAAAAACAAAATTTACAAGGAAGTACCAGTCGGGCTGTGGTGATCGTTATATATATACTGTATATATATATATATATATATATATATATATATGGTTAGATCTGACAAACAACTTCTTTCTATTACGTCTCATATCCTCCCCCATCCCCAATCCCCCTTCTTGAGTTTTCGAGTCAAGTTTTCAAAAATGAAACTGCTGAACACGGTTCAATGAGCACGTCTTAGTCAACACCTTGAAAACTGAGCTCACCGCCTGTTTCTTGTCTGAATGAACATGACTTATGACAAAAAGTTGACACAATAACGGGGCACAGTTCAAGGGGAATAGTGTTACACCATACACACGCGTTTGAATGAACCGTGATGCTCCTGTGTGGAGAACAGCTTCTTGTCATAGTCCATGACGACTTCATGAAACGGCTTCACGTGTAATTGCTTCAAAGTCATTCAAATGTTCTTTATAAAGTTAAGTTTGTTTTAACCTTGGACGATCAGATATAATCGGTCCGGCTGTAAATATATCCTGTTCAGTCAATAAAATCTTCCACAGAAGCCTTGTAGTGTTATTGTGGTTTCGAGTACCCTCTTTTATCACCTATTGTGAGGTTGTGGTAATAAAAGATCTTTTTGCTGAACAGTTATGCTATACTGGACATCTAAAGAAACTGTGCATATGAATTTATCTTACACACAGTCTCCTTTGGTGCCTGGTATATATCATTCCTGGTTACTGGTGACATGAGTCGGCCTTTAAATAACGGTCGTTGGTTAGTTGGTTTGTTGTTTAACGCCGCACTCAGCAATATTCCAGCTATATCACGGAGGTCTGTAAATAATCGAGCCTTAACCAGACAATCTAGTGATTGACATCATGAGCATCGATCCACGCAAGTTGGATCGATGACATGCATCAACCAAGTCAGCGAGCCTGACCACCCGATCCCGTTAGTCGCCTTTTAAGACAAGTATGGCTTGCTGAAGACTTTAAATAACGGACAAACAAGTGATTGATGTTCTGGATTCCTATTATAACCCTGAATATCCACAGGGTGAAGAAATCTGGGGGTTTTAAGCGTCTTTAAGGAATATTGTTGGGTACACACGTGTGGCTTTATTGCGGAAATATTGCCGATACGATGTTAAATGGTGACTCACTCGCTGACCCACTATAAAATTGTTCTCGGCGTGATGATCGATTGGTTTAACAACTATCTAGGCTACCGGACTACACAAAGTAATATCACGTTTCAGTGTGAAGACTAAGCACCGTCAAACAATATCGCTCAACAAACAACGGATTTCTAGTTTAGGTAGTTTAACCAAAAGATCTTACGCTTGCTATTAAATGTCATCGTGGACGGGAGGTCCAGTCGTCTTAGGTGTGCCAGAATCCTATCGTCATGGGTTCGACGCTGTTTTCATTAAAACAAGTGAAACACTTGACCTTCATCACTCAGAAAAGATTCATTTATAAAATCATTTCGTCCTTTTAGTAAATCTACAGATGGTTCTGAGGAACGTGGGCGAAAAATGTTCTATTTACAAAGAACGGCCCCAGGTTCAATATATTATTGCTGTATTTTGCTTATATGATACCAGAGAAGAAATCGTTCACCTCAAATCTATCATAAACATACTATTATATACGATATCTATTGCCAAACAATAAATCATAAACCTTGCGAAATGTGTCAAACATATTGATAACATACGAACACATATCAAGTTTGGTTTAAAATAACATATCAATAAATATACATATTAGCCTGTGTTTCTGATCACTTCGCATATTGATACTGTGCTATATTAAGACTGATGTAGTTAAAGACAGTCATCGAGTTATTCAAACAGACTGGAAGACCAAATATAACACGTGACCTATATACGTCACAATGGATTCCCTTTCTGACCCCGTCAGACGTACACCATCATCACTGACTGTATCTTGCTCAACAAACAGTATACTAGAGTTAACATTGTAGTAGTCTGTGCTATTGGTGCACAACGTTTACACCAAAGCTTCTTGAAATGACCACTCAATTGCTACTTTTATGCAAAGACTATTGCTTTATGGAAATAGTGGGCAGTAAATGTACGTGTATGAAATATTATTGCTTTTATTTGCGTATTACAAATGGCATGCTTTATATAATATGAATGAGAGTCGCAGACCTACCGTATAGATTGTGTCACTCTTCCTGAAGAAATGAGTGGAAACAATTATAAATGACTATTGTGTCCTATTCATTAATATGGTATAAGCGACAAAAACTTTTCCATAGTCAAAAAGGCAGAGTCCATTGTACGATTGTATCATGAGCACGTGTTTATGAATGGATATCAAATAGTGATAATACCAGTATCCTGGCACTCCTCACAAACACATGCAATTCAAGTCAATTATTCAACAGAACAAATGGTACAAGTGAAACGAGGGAATTGCTTTGGACACATCCTGACATGTACACCCAACATAATTCAATGTACTGACAATCCATGCTTACAGGTATCTCATCCTTCACTGAACTTGTTGGTCGGACATAGTGCGCAGACAATACAGTATATTGATGTATAATACCTGCATTCGAAATAAAACATTGTTCAAAATTTAAAGTTCACACATACTCAAAGTTGAACTTAGCGATAATAATATCTCAATGTATCACTCATATCACCATATGTTATCAGCATTGCGTAACAGCTATATTAAGATCTAGAATCAACGCTGCATCATCAACAATGCCTATCCAGAAAGTTCAGGTTTTTTCTTTTTGTTTGGTTTGTTGTTTAACGCCGTAGCAATATTACAGCCATATGACGGCGGTCTGTAAAAAATCGAATCTGGACCACACAATCCAGTGATTGACATCATGAGCATCAATCCATGCAATTGGGTTACGATGACCTGCACCAACCAAGTCAGCGAGCCTGACCACCAGATCCCGTTAGTCGCCTTTTACGACAAGCATAGTCACCTTTTACGGCAAGCATATGTTGCTAAAGACCTATTCTACCCCGGAATCTTCACGGGTCAGTGTTGTGATGTCTCACGGGTAGAGCATTCTAGTGATACACGCCAGGTATCAGAAATAAACGACCGGAGGATCTCTATTTCTTGGAGAGTGAGTAACCATTGTGTTTTCAGAGGCCAGTGGATTTGACTAACCTGCATTCAAGTTGTACAGGATGTGATATGAACGCTTGAATAACCACGACACGATACATTGAGTACCACGTGACTTAGCTGTAGTGAACATTGGCGTTAGTTTTCGAAGTAGCGTCCTGTTCTCCGGGAATATGACACATAGAGATATAAGGTGTCAGTTACCCAGAAGCTTGTGAATAACCGAGGACACAGCGCGACAGAAACAAGTATGTACTTTGTGCTCCGTATTTACATCAAAATGATAAGGGCTAAAAGTCGTTTTTGATAAAGTAGAGAAAGTGATTAATCAATATATGTAGCTGATCTAATTGTCGAATTTATCCTATTCTAACCATTTGTTTATTGTAGCTAGGTATTTATTCATCCACTTGATGCAGGCAAACACAAAATTGCCCTTGTTGTAGACATGAAAAGACGAGGGCTGACTTCAACTTTCCAATAGTCAACTTTTGCTTCATGTCGATCAATATTTTCCCTATTTTGACTTGAACAATATGTTCCCGTGTATTTCAGGTGAACTATTGACTTGCCTTTGCATGTGTTTGTTACGGGTAAAGCTGGTGGGGCAGGATACGCTCACCTTTTCGCGAACACCTAGTATCATCACTGTAAGGATTCATAAACACATGCTCATGATATAGTCGGAAATGTACAATCGACTCTGCTTTATGCAGAGTTTTCTGTTGGATATTGAAAGGGTTTGTCGCTTTATTTAATTAATTATGATTATTGTTAATTATTACCAGGGCTCACTACGCCTAGGTCAATAGGCTATACGGGTAGATCATATTTCTAAACGTAAACTATGAGTCGAATTCTACCGCCAGTTTCGCGATGAGTGCTTTATTATAGGTTGTCACACAACCCCGGTATAAGGCGAGTACACTTGAAGCTGAGTGAATGCAATAGAGCTGCGGTAGACTATATGTCGTCTTGGCCTAGTCAATTATGAGTATTGTTAAAACGTGTTGTGAAAATCCGGGGTCCCAAGATGACAGCTGTCTTACAATCCCTTTTTGATCTGTTTTCAGTATCACCATGGCAGACGGTTTCAATATAACAATGGTAGCAGGATCGGGGAAGGGTGACAAATTCACAATGGCCGGCGTTGTCGCTGGAGGAGTCAACAATGAATATGAAAGTATGACGTGTTTGTGCTCTGAACTGCATAGATACATAGATTAGTATCACACTGTTCTCATTAGTTATAGCGGTTACTGAAGGCGCATTGGCCTAAGGTGTCGCATTGTGTTGTGCAGAGTTGCATCCCTTTGGTGTGCAAAGATCCCTCAGGTCAACGGCAGAATGCCATACATTTATGTTCCCGTCAATTTTGATAGATTTTTGCTGAGCAGTGCGGTAGCATAGTGGTTAAAGTGTTCGCTCGCCACGCTGAAGGCCCGAGTTCGATTCCCCACATGAGTACAATGTGTGAAGCCAATTGCTGGTGTTTCTTGCCGTGATTTTGCTGGAATGTTGCTCAACGCGGCGTAAACCTCAACTCACTCACTCTTATGGGTTTTGACAACTTTACGACTTCCTACCTACGTAACTTTCGGCTTTCTTCTCGCAATAAGAGACACGTGAATTACAGTTAAAATGGTGGTAAATGTAACTTAAACACTTACTTAATTATGTAAATACAGATCATTCAAACAGAAGCGGCGCTGTTACGTCACTGTCCGTCCTGTCCCCTGAGGCGTTGAGACTACCACGATTCATTGAATTCATACTCGTTTACTGGCCATCCGCTGTAATGTGTTATCAAGAGCACATACAATCACCTGTGATGAGCTGGTAAAGTGACAAGTATGCTGTTTTGTCTTAACGTCTGGCCTCCAGCATGTAGAGGATATTAATATGAAACTGTTATTATCATGTTCCAATCAGGTCCACCGAAGTCAGAAGGACTCCAAACAGATCTGCCAAAGGCAACCATAAACATGACGGGCCCTGGGCAGGATGCCCAATATAAGGACATGAAGATGTTGGGTTTTGTGCAAGATGGGATGGATAACAAAGTCAGATCTCAAGGTACGACGATACGCATTTTCTTCATAATCTTCCCCTATATAGTAATTGGATGGCAGAAACCAGTGTTCGTGGCCATGGGTTCCAGTCCCAGAGTTGCTATGCTTATGTGACTAGGTTTATCAGCATACCTGTGCTCAGAGGTTTCACCACAGTGGTAATCGTCTAAGACTTGCATCACAGCGGGCCTTTTGCCACATGTATCAAGCTGTCACAACGTAATACAAGTGCAAATAATATTCAATACGGATACAAACCAAACTAACTCGATATTAATCACTCGCATATAATGTCTAAGCACACGTATTACGCGCGTTGTTTCTTATCATCTTTGTGGACAATGATTTGCTCTGTCCAATCTTGGTTTTGAGAATGATCAATGACCAACGTAAATGGGCATCCGTATTATCCATCGCAGAAACCCCCGGCAGCAATCAAGGTCATGTTCCTCGTTTTACAATGGACTCAATCCCGAGAGGTCAGTGTTTTATGTCCAACCATAGTACTACTAGTATGTTCTTCATGAATTATTGTCCTATGAAAGTAGTTGGCAATTGTTTTGATAATCGTTCAGTGAAAGTCGCAGGTTTATTTGATTTTTGCTTCATATTAAAAATGACTATCTAATGGTATATGTGTAACTATATATTACGTGTGAGAAAATATTTAATTTGAATTTTAAAGGTACATTTTGAGAATGAAAAGAAATAAATGCGAAGAATTGATCGATTCATTGAGCTACATCAAATGTAATTTGTAATGTTGCTTAACAGAATGATTAAAAACGAAGAATATTTGTTTCTCAATGTCTATTTTCAACTATTAACGCTGCTTCTGGTATCATACTATGTTGCAGGATGGTGTTATATATTCAACAATAAGACCTTTGACGGTGAACCAACAAAAACGCGAATAGGAACAAACAAGGACAGAGGTATGTGTCATTGTGATAGTTTGAATGTTTAGCCCCAGTTGACATTGGTTTGTCAACAACCTACCCGTGCTCGTGGATTTCACAAGCAGTAAATGCCTTGGACCTGCATCATTTCGGGCTTCCCTCGGCATGAAATATTTTACAAAGCGCCTTCAGCCCCACCGATTTACTCAAATTGACAACATGTGATTTAAATATTCTTATTTATGAATATTTATGTAATTTATGCAAACACATTAAATATCCCTGATTGATTCGCTGACATATCTCAGTTTTGATACCGATTCGATTGACACAACGCCAAAAATAGCCGTCCAAAGGCATTATTCCCATGACCGAGAGAATTTCTGTGCTAAGTTTGTGATACGAGAGATTTTGATAGTGACGTAACTTCCGAGGCGAAGCTGATTGGCGAATGTGTCGAGGGTATGTATTATCATAGAATCGAGATTATTGCAAAGTACGCTATACCGCAGGGTCAGTATGATTATGTGTGTGATGACTATTTTTTCATTAGATGATTTGACAAGAGTGTGGAAAGAGCTGAAATTTGAAGTGAAATCGTTCGACGACCCCAAGGCTGGCGTTATGGAAACGAAGATTCAAGAACTTTCCAAAATGGACCACAAGGCCCGTGACTGTGTCGTAGTGATCTTCCTCACCCATGGGCGAGATGGCGCGGTGCAGGGATCTGACAACGAGTGGCTGGAAGTCAGTACCATCACATCCTACTTCAAGGCGTCAGTGTGTCCGTCACTGGCCAACAAACCAAAGCTGTTCTTCTTTCAGTCATGTCGAGGCATAGAGATTCAAAAAGGTGGGTGTAAATATATAACGTCAACGCAAGAGAATAAACGGTATCGATGATCCACCGAAACAGATGCCTTTTTGCGTAAAAAGACAAATGTAACGGTACAAATATACATTGATTGATCAGTGATGACACCAGGTGTTTACGCAGGCCATGTCTTAATAAACAAACAACAGTTACAACAGTCAAAAGTGCCAGTGTTAAATTACTGATTCAAAATAATAAACATGAAAATGATAATAAGACGATGATATGTGCCATGTCATAGAACTGAAACAGGGGTCTCTCATTGCGTAGATTGTATGTCGGAAGAGAGGCGAAAAAATGTGCACACTGCACTATATAAGTGTATTCATAGCAGTGGCCATTCATAACAGTGCCATTCACAAGTGTGTGTGTGTGTGTGTGTGTGTGTGTGTGTGTGTGTGTGTGTGTGTGTGTGTGTGTGTGTATTTGTGTGTGTATTTGTGTGTGTGTTAGTTAATAAGACCTGATAAAGTATGTTTGACAAATAATAGGACAGGCGTAACGGATGTCTGCTTTTTGGATTCCAAAAACATGTCCTTCAAGATATACAATTTTTTAGTGTTTGTCTGTTGTTTAACGCCACACTCAGCAATATTGCAGCTATATGCCGGCGGTCTGTAAATAATCGAGTCTGGACCACACAATCCAGTGATTGACATCATGAGCATCGATCCATGCAATTGGGATACAATGACCTGCACCAACAAAGTCAGCGAGCCTGACCACCAGATCCCGTTAGTCGCCTTTTACGGCAAGCATGATTTATTTACTAAAGCACAATTTACATCATGACACCCACATGATGTTATTCAGGTTTTGGAAATGGGAGACGTGCATCTTGAGCACAAATTAACATACTCCATATGGTAAGTAAGTACTTGATGAATGCAAATAATCTGCCAAAGGAATGAGCGTTTTGTAGTCGCGCAATATTTGTTGAAAGAATGTCATATCTCAACATTTAGTATACCCAGCCATAATGTATCAATGTGTTGTACACCACCGTCACCAATAACGTTGAACAGATTACTTTTATGTGACTTTTTCTCGTGAAGAAATAAGTATCACCGTCATAAGATAGAACTCGATTTACATTAAATCAGACATTAAATCGGTATTTATCATTTAACTAAAGCATTTATTCATGACATAAGCTTATGACATAAAAACATGTATGTCATACCCCAATGACATAAGTATGCAAATTAGATATGCAAATTAGATAACCGGAAGTGGGACTTTTTTTGCCGGTGCACGTGAGTAGGTGTTTACAAACAACATGGATACCTTTGATGTTGGAGACATTATTTCAATTATTCTGCAAAAGTCTGTTCAAGTATTTTGTTTAAAATAATCCGAGGAACTTCTTTTCTCAGCGAAGGAATATGTCATAAAGGAGTTAAGAGGTTGTTTATTTTGGTTTACACGGCTATGGAAAACATGTATCACTACGCACGATCTATACGTAAGATTTCGACAAGTTGCTGATGTTAATGTTTAATGCAATTATTCCTTAATTGGGAAGCAATAATGTGAAAATGATAAATAGAATTCATCACTCGTGTTTTTTTAATATGGGAAATTTCAACCTCGTCCCGTTAATCGGTATTTGCCTCGCCAAAGGCTCGGCAAATACCGATTAACTAAGATTCGGTTGATATTTCCCATATTAAAAAACACTCGTGATGAATCCTCTATTTATGTACGTGTGTGGTGACTGACATGTATAGGTGTATGTAAAGTGTCTGTAAAGTAGTGAACATACAAATAAGCTAGGTATCATTCAGTTTTCGACATTCCATGTTTGCATTATTCCAGAATTGCCAACGTGTGTGTCTGTGTCTGTGTATTTGTGTGTGTGTGGGTGTTTGTGTGTCTGTGAGTGCGTGTATGTGTGCGTGTATGTATGTGTGAGTCTGTGTGTTTGTGTGCGTGTCTGTGTGTGTCTGTTAGTGTGTCGGTGTGTATCTGTGTGTCGATGTGTATGTGTGTTGTTTAACGCCGTGCTCAGCAATATTCCAGTTTTATAACGGCAGCCTGTAATCTAGTGTGAACCAGACCATACAGTGATTGATGTTAATTTTGAACATCGTGTCACGCCGTCGGGTACGATGACACGCTATGACGTCATCGAGCCTAAATTCCTGATCCATCTTACACGGGCAGAGGTTACTCCGAAATCCCCCCGAGTACACTATAACCATGCTTCATGGCTAGACACATAGAACCGTGGGCGCGTAATCAACTTCATGTGTTATATTTTAATAAATAGACAGAAAATGATTTCAATTGTATGGGCTTATTTAACCAGGTGTATGAACGGACACATAAGTCACACTTTATGTATATGCATACAAGAATAATCTCATATTTTGTTATGAAGAAAACATTCGACTCACTACATTTAGTTTAACGTATGCAATGTTATTACTGTTGGGGGGGGGGGCTGACAATAGTAACTTAACATTCTTCAAATTATATAGCGTTTGAATTGGAGCGTTAAGCAACTATGATGAATGCAACCGTATTCTCATTTGCTGTTCTAGCCGTTCCGGCTCAAGGTGATGACGGCGGCAGCGCTCCTGCTGGAACAGAAAAAAAAAATCCGGCTGACAAGATGGTGGCTCCAGAGGCAGATTTCTTCTTTGGTTTCGCAGCAGTGGCGGGGACGCAGGCTCTCAGACACCCCGAGACTGGTTCCTGGTTTATTCAGGCACTTGTCCAATCTCTGCAAGATTCTGCAAAGAGGTAATATGAAGGACGGGCATCACTTCAGATTTTCCACCCTCACCAAGCTGACACGCTGTGATGTAACTGAAATACTGTTCAAAGCGTCAATGAACCCAAGCCGATCTAAGTCATGTCAAGGCGTTGTAAGTTTTGCAACTGTAAGGCTGTGACCATCATATTTATGTTTAGAATTTTGTGATTGTGTCATTGACTTAATTTCGATAGATGATTATATTCACATTACTTTTCTTCTAGTGATGACCTGGAAAGTATAATGACGGTCGTTCGTGGTAAAGTGAACGACCATCAAGTTGAAACATTGAAAGGAGAGTTTCAAAGACAAACGGCTGAGGTGAGGACAACGCTGTCGAAGAAAGTGTACTTTTGATCGGGGTTATTCTATGATAAATTGGACAGGCTGTTATCATTCGTCGAACCAGTCCGATAAACTTGGTATCAAGTGCCGATAATTATAGATATGCAAACGAGGTCAGAAAGCAGGAAATAATACATAATGTTAAACACCATGCACAGACACAATCGGCTTATGTTTTACTACATTTTCCAATAGGTTCAGACAGTGATTGTGCGATGCATGGGTGATTCTGTAGACAACCATATTTGCAAATCATATGGTATGATAAATAGGGCGTTTCACTCAAGCTTTGTATTCATACGCGATTTCTAAAGTTATTTCATTGATACATTAATACTAATATATAATAAATAAAAATACCAAGACGAGGAGTGTATTTATTCTCCTTTTAAATCAATTTGAGCAATGAAATAGGTGTGATGAAATTAACGTTGTGTTGTAATAATTATTATGTTGACAATTGTATCCGACATTGGCTGTATCCGCATAGTGCTACATTAAGGATTAAGTTAAAAAAGGAAGATGATTTCTCATTCAGTGATAAAGTTTGTGTACAGTCTTTATCAGGTGTCAATGCGAGACAAACGAAATTGTCACATTTACAACATGTCATCCACTTATTTGCATTTATCTTTGTGCGTCATGGCTGTGGCTGTGGTTTCGCAGTCGCTTTGGTAATGGTGCACAAAGTGTAATACAAATATGACAGCTTTACAAACAACTTGAAAACTGTTCACAGAAACTCAAAAGAGGATTTTTGTTACGATCGTGGAGTAGTTTAATAGAATAGCATCAATGCAAAAAGCATCCTGTATCTTTACGTTTGTACAAACATATGCTTCAGATCTTAAATTTGTCAAGACTGGAACTTTCGCATAGTGCTACATTAAGGTTTAAGTTAGCAAGAAAGATGATTAATTTCTCATTCAGTGATACAGTTTGAGTACAGTCTTTATCTTTTGTTAATGCGAGACAAACGATATTATCATATTTAACATGTGATCCACATATTTGCATTTATCTTTGTGCGTCAGTGCTGTGGCTGTGGTTTCGCAGTCGCTTTGGTAATGGTGCACAAAGTGAAATACAGAAACTCAAAAGAGGTTTTTTCTTAAGATCGTGGAGTAGTTTAATAGAATAGCCTCAATGCAAAAGGCAACTTGTATCTTTAATTTTTCCAAATTCATGCTTCTTAAATGTGTCGAAACTGGAGCTTTGTGTTGAGAAAAGAGTAAATGTCGTTTCCTGAATATAAACATTTTACCGTGCAAATCAAATGCAAATATATGGTGCAGATGAGTCAGTAGGCACAAGAGACAACGTAAACAAGCTTTGCTATAGTTCAGGTCCAGTTCTCGTCATTTATAAGTTTAAGGGTAAGATAACATACGACGTTAGAAATCACCTATTAGAAGCATATTCTAACATAAATGGATTAGTGCACTTAAAGAAAACGTCGCCTTTACAAACTAAGGTTTGACTGTCTGAGACACACATTACTCACATGATTGTAAATGTTCAAATAAATTCATGTAAGTGTATGTTGTTGAAGGTTAATGTTATATTCGTCATAGTTCTTAACAATGGTATCTTCGCATCGACTAACTCTTATCTGTACTCGTACTCGTGTACAAGTGTTTAGACAGGAGTATTGAGTAGCGAAAATATTAACAATAAGGGTATGTTCCAAATTATAAATATTTCGTGTGGAAACTAAGTGTAAATCTACCCGTAGGCTGGTAAATGTCATATTTACATTGCACCACTCTTGTTTTGCCTTGTAAAAAAAGTAAGAAAAGGTATACGTTTATTCAGGTGGCGTCGGGCTGTGGTGATCATTATATATATAACAGGTACGGTTAGATCTGACAAACAACTTCTTTCTATTACGTCTCATATCCTCCCCCATCCCCAATCCCCCTTCTTGAGTTTTCGAGTCAAGTTTTCAAAAATGAAACTGCTGAACACGGTTCAATGAGCACGTCTTAGTCAACACCTTGAAAACTGAGCTCACCGCCTGTTTCTTGTCTGTATGAACATGACTTATGACAAAAAGTTAACACAATAACGGGGCATATTCAAGGGGAATAGTGTTACACCATACACACACGTTTGAATGAACCGTGATGCTCCTCTGTGGAGAACAACTTCTTGTCATAGTCCATGACGACTTCATGAAACGGCTTCACCTGTAAACAATTGCTTCAAAGTCATTCAAATGTTCTTTACTTAAGTTTTTTTAACCTTGGACGATCAGATATAATCGTCCCGGCTGTAAATATATCCTGTGCAGTCAATAAAATCTTCCACAGAAGCCTTGTAGTGTTATTGTGGTTTCGAGTTCCCCCTTTTATACCCATTGTGAGGTTGTGGTAATAAAATATATTTTCCCTGAACAGTTATGCTATACTGGACACCAAAAGAAACTGTGCATATGAAGTTATCTTACACACAGTCTCCTTTGGTGCCTAGTATATATCATTCCTGGTTACTGATGACATGAGTCGGCCTTTAAAAAACGGTCGTTGGTTGGTTGGTTGGTTGTTTAACGCAATATTCCAGCTATATGACGGCGGTCTGTAAATAATCGAGTCTGGACCAGACAGTCCAGTGATTGACATCATGAGCATCGATCCACGCAAGTGGGATCGGTGACATGCATCAACCAAGTCAGCGAGCCTGACCACCCGATCCCGTTAGTCGCCCTTTACGACAAGTATGGGTTGCTGAAGACTTTAAATAACGGACAAACAAGTGATTGATGTTCTGGATTCCTATTATAACCCTGAATATCCACAGGGTGAAGAAATCTGGAGGGTTTAAGCGTCTTTTATGGATATTGTTGGGTGCATACGTGTGGTTTTATCGCGGAAATATTGCCTATACGATCTTAAATGGAGACTCACTCACTGACCCAGTACAAATTTGTTCTCGGCGTAATGATCGATTGGCTTAACAACTATCTAGGCTACCGGACTACACAAAGTAATATCACGTTTCAGTGGTAAGACTGAGTACCGTCAAACAATATTGCTCAACAAACAACGGATTTCTAGTTTAGGTAGTTTACCCAAAAGATCATACGCTTGCTATTAAATGTCACTGTGGACGGGAGGTCCAGTCGTCTTAGGTGTGCCAGAATCCTATCGTCATGGGTTCGACGCTGTTTTCATTAAAACAAGTGAAACACTTGACCTTCATCACTCAGAAAAGATTCTACATTATAAAATCATTTCGTCCTTTTAGTAAATCTACAGGTGTTTCTGGGAAACGTGGGCGAAAAATGTTCTATTTACAGAGAGCGGCCCCATATAACAGGTTCAATATATTATTGTTGTATTTTGCTTATATGGTACCAGAGAAGAAATCTTTCACCTCAAATCTATCATAAATATACTATTATATACGATATTTATTGCCAAACAAAAAATCATAAACCTTGATAAAATGTGTTAAAAAATTAATATCATACGCATACATATCAAATTTGGTTTAAAATAACATATTAATAAATATACATATTAGCATGTGTTCCTGATCATTTCGCATATTGATACTGTGCTATATTCAGACTGATGTAGTTAAAGACAGTCATCGAGTTATTCAAACAGACTTGAAGACCAAATATAACACGTGACCTATATACGTCACAATGGATTCCCTTTCTGCCCCCGTCAGACGTACACCATCTTCATTGACTGTATCTCGCTCAACAAACAGTATACTAGAGTTAACATTGTGGTAATCTGTGTTATTGCTGCACAATGCGGACACCAAGGCTTCGTGCAGTGACCACTCAATGACTACCTTTAGAGAAAAAGTGGTCAGTAAATATACGGGAATGAAATATTATTGCTTTTATTTGCGTATTGTAATTGTGAAATGGCATGCTTTATAAGATGAGTGTAAGTCGCATACATTAGTGTAGATTGTGACACTAGGAAATGAATAGAACTAACCCCATGCGTTTAATACTTACATATCACAGTGAGCTATTTCTGAATAAAACAAATCCTGACATGGACACATAATTACATGGGCTGACGCACACCATATGCTTGCATGTACAGATGTCGGCCTGCATCAACGGCTGCAACAATCTCATTATATCAGTTTCTTTGAAATTGTTGGTCGTAAAAAACCGGTATCAACCTGTTTCGTCTATTTTTTTTTAAAGGTAAATAGTAGCAGATAAGTGACTGCAGGTTTGAAAAGTAGGCATGTTGAGCAACCCATATTACTGTTAACAGGGGTGCACAAAAATAAAACAAAAAGCCATTTATATTTTATTGCATCATTTATGTATCTATATCAGCTCTAAAGCGTGCGCAAAAATAGGTTGTCAACAAATATCATGCAGCACGTATCATCACAGACACTTGATGGTTCACGACAAGCAAAATGTCATGCACACTCTCCAAGAAGATGTACAGCTCCACCGGTATAGTTCACAAGATATATGTCATTGTTCAAAACTTTCACACCGTAGTAGACTGTCTTAATGTGCCAACCTTCAAAGTTGTTGTTGTTGGTTGTGAGTGAGCGACTTTAATAATACACCGCTTTTAGCTTTTAGCAATATTCCAGCAATATCACGGCGGGGGACATCAGAAATGGGCTTCACGCATTGTACCCATGTCTTCGTCGTGACGAGCGAACACTTTAACCACAAGGCTACCCGATCTCCCCGATGTTGTTGTGGCCTAGTCCACGAATTTGACACAGTCCAAGATGCTGTATCCTGCTCCATAAAGCCAGGGCAAAGTGAAAGTAGCATCCTCGGTGTTTTAGGAACGTATAAACTTCTACTGTATTCAAAGACCACCTCCGTGATCTAGTGGCAGAGTGTCCGCCCGGAGAGCGGAAGGTTCGGGGTTTGAACCCCGGCCGCGTCATACCAAAAGACGGTTAAAGATGGTACTTGTTGTTACCCTGTCTGGCGCTCGGCATTAAGGGGCTATAAAACAAGGACTCGGAGTCAGTATACTGTGTCTGAGTAGGGTATTCATGTTAAACTGCATCATGGTATCTTAGTGAGCTAGCACTATACATCGGCATCAGTCCAGACAAGTACGAGCAGCCCACACACACGTGCATGCAGTCGTAATAATCTTTGACGCGACATTAAACCCAGTTTCACCTCACCTCCTATATTTAAAACCCCCAACCCGACTCCAGATCTTAGCTATGTTCATCCGTACTCCAACTAAACATCTCCCCCCATTTAGATACCTAATTTACTTACTGTTCTTAATTGAAGTTAATATAAATAACCTTATCCCATTACTAAGTGTCTGATTCTTTTATCTGTAATTAATATCTATATTGTCAAACTAGCTTAGTTCAACTTGAACAAATGTTATATTTAGGATAACACTTTCTTAGTAAAGTACAGATTCTCGTACTTTTTTGGGTTGAGTCCCATCCGGGATTGTTATCCCAAATAAAACATTTGTTACATTTGACCACTTTCTAAATGACATTGTGTACTCTTATCTTAGTTCACTTACATTTCTTAACTGCAAAAAAACCTTCAATTAATCTTATTCCATTACTAGGGGCGGTCGGGTAGCCTAGTGGTTAAAGCGTTCGCTCGTCACGCCCAAGACCCGGGTTCGATTCCCGACATGGGTACAATGTGTGAAGCCCATTTCTGGTGTCCCCCGCCGTGATATAGCTGGAATATTGCTAAAAGCGGCGTAAAACCATACTCACTCACTCACTATTCCATTACTAAGTATTTGAATAAATTCACTGCTTTTAATCTCAATATTGTAGCACTTTCTATTGTTATCCTGATCCAAACACCCCCAGGCCCGTTTATTGTCTCCCCCCAAACGGGCAATACGTGTCTGTGACAACACGCTTTACACTGAGCTGTGGAGAAACCACTCAGGCATGGGTAGACAACCCAGGCACAGTAAAGCTCTAAACATTAGACGAACAGGGTTGTGATCTTAGCGCCGTGAATAAATTATAGCTGCTTCCCAAATAAAACACGATTCAAAGTACAAACAAACTCATAGCTATACTAAGTGATAATAATATCTCAATGTTTGTCATCATATGTCATCAGCATTGCGTAATAGCTATATATAGATATATAATCAATGCTGCAACGTAAATAATGCATGTCACATAGCTGCAGGTAGTGTGATATAGTGTACACTTGTGAAACGCGCCAGGTATCGGAAATATCCTATCGGAGGATCTTTATAGGTCGGAGAGTAAGCATCCGTTGCGTTGTCATGGGTCAGTGGATTTGACTCAGCTGCTCTTCGAGTACGACACGAACGCTTGAATAACTAGGACACGAGACATTGAAGACCACGTGACTTAGTTGTGGTGCACAGGCCAGTTCTCGAAGAGAGCGTCCTGTTCTTCAGGAATACGATACGCCCAGATAAACAATACGACACGGAAGCTTGTGCATAGTCGAGAACAGCTCGCGACAGTAACAGGTATGTTCTTTGTTGGTCATTGATAACATCGAACAAATTAAAAGGGGTCGTTTTAATTAGGTAGAGACCGTAAATAATGTATGTAGCTGATATGATTATCGAATACGAATTAATTCTAAGCATTAGATAATTGTAGCTTGGTATTTGGTCACCCAGTTTTGAAAGTATTCCCTATATGTTCTGACACCGTCTTTATTGTAGAAATGATCATTAAAAGCACGGCTCGCTTCACCAAGGTAAATGGGTTATACGGGAAGATCATATTTCTAAACTCTAGTCAACATCTCCCGTCAGTGACACGCTAAAGGTTACCACACAACCCCGTTATAAGGCGAGCACCAACGAAGCCGACCGCATACAACAGAGCTTCCGGAGCGTGTAGGTCGTATTGACCTCACTTATGATCTGTTGTCGGTTGAAATGTGGAAATAAAAATAAGTGAGTATTAACCGATAGAACTCTGCTTGTGTCAGAACGTGTTTTAAAAATCTGTCTGACGACATGGGTTTGATTTCTTTACAGCAGCACCATGGCAGACCGTCTGAACATAACACTCGAGGCAGGGGAAGGTACGGCTGAGACTTTAACAATGGCCGCAGCCGTCACGGGAGGAGTCAACAATGAGTATGAAAGTAGGACTTGTTTGTGTTCTTAACTGCATCAATACATGACATATTATTACACTCAACTTTTCGGAGAATGTGGAGACTCCCCAACATGTCAGCCTTCTGCGTTACCCAGATTGTCCTTTGAAAGTAGTTGGCTATATATAGTTTTGACAACATTCATAACACTCATTGGTTATAGTGGTAACATTTGGCACAGTAGTCAAAGGCGTTGCATTTTGCTGTGCAGAGTTGCGTCCCTTTGTTGTTCAAGGATCCGCTGGTCTTTGGTCGAATGTTCCTCCCGATAACCATCCATATTCGTTCTTGTGGTTTTAACAAAGTTTACAATAAGAGATAACTGAAGTATGGTTGAAAGTGGTGGACAGTTTTACTAATACACTTTGCTTAATTATACAAACATGGATAATTTAAACAGAAGCGGCGTTGTTACGTACTGTCCGTCCTGGCCCTAGGTGATTGGCGATAGGATCTGCCACGATTCAATGAATTCATACCTAGTTCAAGGTCCACCTCTGTAATCCCCCATCGTGGTGTATAAGTATCTCGGGATCGGGTGGTCAGGCTCGCTGACTTGGTTGAAGCATGTCATCGATCCCAATTGCGTGGATCGATGCTCATGATACCAATCACTGGATTGTCTGGTCCAGACACGATTATTTACAGTCCGACGTCATATAGCTGGAATATTGCTGAGTGCGGCGTAAAACAACAAATCAATCAATCAATATAAGTATCTGTCCCGTGAAGACCAGGGTTACACCTGGACTTCAGTAACCCATGCTTTCAGTAACAGGCGACTACGCTTGTATGCTGCGACTAACGGGTTGTCAGGGTCGCTGAGTTGGTTTATACATGTAATCTTATCCCAACTGCGTTGATAAGTGCTCATGATATCAATCACTGGCTTATCAGGTCCAGACTCGACTATTTACAGAACGCCGCCATGTGACCGAAATCTGATAAGCTTGTCGTGTGACAAGTTTATGCCTCCAATATGATGGGGATGAGGCTCTGATCACCCCTCCTTTGCTTTTTATTCTTCTCAAACTATTAAAGTCTCATCATCAGTCAACTTCTCTCTTGTGCCTGGAAACACCCCGATGTGTCTTTACAGGATAGGGATTTACATGTGATAGCCTTTGGTATAGTTCTGCTCCTTAGCCGATGTGTGCGTTCAATTGAAATTTCAGTAATACAGCTTCTGGTAGTTATCCTGAATAAGTGTAATGTTGGAAGGTTCTTATATTTCAAGAAGGTTTTAAATATAGGAAGTTTATTCTTTGTATAGTATTGACTATGTAGCTGAGTTGGGAAGATATCTTCAACACACCTGTGCATCGTAAATACCTGTCAGTTGGTCTGCCACAGGTGTATGGGCTGTCACCATTTCGCGAACACCTGGTGTCATCACTATTTTATAGTAACGTGTATGATATAGTCGGAATCGCACTTTTAACATGCATGATTATCGGCTCCTAACGTGCTTGGGAGCACGGGTGGCCCAGTCGTCTAAGGCACCGCGATTCACTGTGCTGAGTTGCGTCCCTTGGGTACGCCAGAAACATAAATTATGATTGTCGGTTCGAATCCCGGTTCGCCCCGATTGTGTTTTTAGGTTTGTCAGCACCATACCCGTGCTCGTGGGTTTCACCGAAGTGGTAAACGTCCGAGACCTGCTTCTCTTCGGGCTTTCCCCCCACATTAAGCTGACACGCCGTGATATAACTGGAAAACTGTTAAAAAGCGGCGTTAAACCCAACTCACTCACACCTTACGTGCTTGATATTGGCGGCTAAGGTCATACGGCCATGGAAATGACAACAGTGCTTCATGAAACTTATCTTCAGTCAATGCAATTATAAAACAGAATTATTTATTCATTTATTCAAAACAGAAACAAGTAGGTCTTAGTTTCATGGTTTACATGTTTATTGGTATTTTGGTGTTCCTGTTAGGTCAACCGAAGTCAGAAGGACTCAAAACAGATCTGGCAAAAGCTGATATAAAAATAAAGGGCCCCGCCAAGGATGCTAAAACTAAAGACGTGAAGCTATTTGGGCTTGTGGAAGGTGGGATTGGAAACAAAGTCAAATCCCAAGGTAAGACGATAAGCATTTTCTGTATAATGTTCCCGTATTACTTCCCAACATGATAATGGAGTATCAGAAGCCAATGATCGTGGCTTCCAGTGCCAGACTGTGTTTCTCGATTTGTCAGCACCATATCTGTCCTCATCTGTCACTCATGCTGCAAACAGCTAAGACTTGCAACACTTTGGCTTTCCTCCCACTCCAAGCTGACACAACGGGACACAACTGAAACACTGTTCAATACGGATACAAACCCCACTAACTCACACCTGGCCACTCGAATATCAAGTCTAAGCACCTGCATAACACACTTTGTTTCTATTCCGGGGTAGAATAGGTCTTCAGCAACCAATGCTTGCCGTAAAAGGCGACCATGCTTGTCATAAGAGGCGACTAACGGGATCGGGTGGTCAGGCTCGCGGACTTGGTTGATGCATGTCATTGATCCCAATTGCGTGGATCGATGCTCATGATATCAAGCGTTGTATTGTCTGGTCCAGACTCGATTATTTACAGACCGCCGTCATATAGCTGTAATATTGCTGAGTGCGACGTTAAACAACAAACCAACCAACCAACCACTTTGTTTCTTATCATCTTTGTGGACAATGATTTGTTCTGTCCCATCTTGGTTCCCAGAATGATAAGGATAATGGAACTATTCATTGCAGATACTAAAGCCAACGACCAAGGTCAAGGGGCTCGCTACAAAATGGACTCAGTCCCGAGAGGTCAGTATATTATTATTATTTACAGATTAAAATAAAAAAATGCAGCAAAGAGGGTTTGGGTGATCCTGGCAGAGTCAGGCTGGTTAGACTCATCATCAGCTCAGGGCCCTTGCCCCCTCTACACGCAGCCCAGACAGCGAATGGGACTTCTCCCAAGCTCTGCCTAGTCGAACCAGCCGAGAACCTTTCGGAGAATGTGAAGACTCCCCAACACTGCATAGTTCTTGTGTGAACCAGATTGCCAGATTGTCCTTTGAAAGCAGTTAGCAATAATTTTCATACTCGTTCTATGAAAGACGAACAAGAGGGTTTATTTGCTTATTTATTTGCTTTAAATTGAAAAGGACCCTCTTCGGGTTATTGTATGTGTGCAACTATATATTACGTGTGAGAAGATATGATTTTAAGTTCAAAATAACTTTTGAGAAATAATAAGAAATCAATGCGAAGGAATGAGCGAACTATTGCTCAACATCAAATGTGACCCACGAGGAGAAAAGGGACCCTATTGGTGCTAGGATACACTTGTGCTATGACCTCATAAAGACGTTCGACGTCAATTTACTTCAGTGCAGATCGCCATGTGTGACGTCACGTATCTCCGTAATAAGTATGAATTGAAGCTTTTGAACTGTATTTTTGTGTTCCAAAGATCTTGTAGATTTAAATATAATGAAAAGTCAAAATGTGATTTTTCCTCCATAAGTGATTTTCCTAATCAGAATGAGTAGAAACGAAGGATACTTGTTTCCCTGTGTTTTGTTTACTGTTGACGCTGCTTCTACGACCACACTCTGTTGCAGGCTGGTGTTATATATTCAGCAATAAGACCTTTGAGGATAAACCATCACAAACGAGAATAGGAACCGAGAAGGACAGGGGTATGCGCTATTGGGATAGTTTGAATGTTCCAGTTGACATTTTCTTTTCATCACCATACCCGCGCTCATGTGAAGATCCGCGGTAGAATAGGTCTTCAGCAACCATGCCTGCCGTAAAAGGCGACTATGCTTGTCGTAAGAGGCGACTAACGGGATCGGGTGGTCAGGCTCGCTGTCTTGGTTGATGCATGTCATCGTATCCCAATTGCATGGATTGATGCTCGTGACATTAATCACTGGATTGGTCCAGACTTGATTACTTACAGACCGCCGTCATATAGCTGTAATATTGCTGAGTGCCCCGTTAAACAAACAAAAAAGCAACAACAAAAAATATAGAATCGAGATGATACACTGGAGAAATCGAATTTGCAAGTTCATTATACCACGGGATCAGTATAAAATAATTATTGTCTAGGTGTTTTTGTGACTTATTTTTCCATCAGATGAGTTGACGAAAGTGTGGAAAAAGCTCAATTTTGAAGTGAAATCGTTCGACGACTCCGAGGCTGACGTGATGGAAACGAGGATTAAAAAACTTGCCAAAATGGAGCACAAGGCCCATGACTGTGTCGTAGTGATCTTTCTGACCCATGGACGAGATGGCGCGGTGCAGGGATCTGACAACGAGTGGCTTGAAGTCAGTACCATTACATCCTACTTCAAGGCGTCAGCGTGTCCGTCACTGGCCAACAAACCAAAGCTGTTCTTCTTTCAGTCATGTCGAGGCAAAGATATTCAAAAAGGTGGGTGTATATATACTAGCCACATAAAGAAACTGTACACGGAGAAAATATATTCTGGATTGAAATACAACACAGCAAGAACAAAATGATGCTGACGCTGTAGCAGCTGAATGATAGGACCATTAGAAAATGTCAACGGGACCTTAACAACATCTGTTACGATGACGTCAGAAGATCAAAATGGAGTAGGGGGTCAAACGACAAAGTCACAAAGTCAATAACGGGTATGACCACCCTGTGCGTGAATCACAGCAGTGCATCGGCGACGCATGGAGTCCACCAAATGGGCATGGAAGGCCTGGGGAATTTGCCTGCCATATCCTCCTCAAATCCTGTGCCAAGTCACGGACGTTATCTGGAGGATGTTGAAGACGACGCAGACGGCGCTCCATTTCATCCCACACATGCTCTATTGGGGAGAGATCTGGAGAATTTGCAGGCTATGGCAGTAACATGACATTGTTATGGTGAAGGAAATCTATTGCGACCCTAGCCGTGTGAGGACGAGCGTTGTCCTGTTGAAATGTCAATCCCGGGCCATGACGTTGCAGGAAAGGAATGACCACAGGCCTCAGAATCTGATCTCTGTAGCCAACACCGGTGAGATTGCCCTGAACAACCACCAAAGGGGTTCGGTGCCGTACTGTTATCCCACCCCAAATCATCACAGAGCCACCTCCAAAACGATTCCTCTCCGCAATACAGTTGCGTGCATAACGTTCTCCCAAACGCCGGTAGACACGCTGGCGCCCGTCACTGTGGGAAATGTTGAACCTCGATTCATCTGTAAAGACAACATTTCTCCACCATATTCGAGGTTGGCGAACATGATTTCGACACCATCTTAGACGGTTGACTCGATGACGGTGTGTCAGGATGGGACGTATGGCAGGGCGTCGTGGTCGAATCCCGTACTGACGTAAACGATTCCTGACAGTGTTGGGGTGGATACGGCGCAGTCCAGGAATTGTCTGGGACGTCGTTACTGCCGTTTGGAACCTGTGTCGGAGATGTGTAACTCGAATCCATCTGTCCGGTCTTGGCGTCGTTACTCCTGAACGTGGGTGGTCGGCAACGTCATTTGTGTTCTGATAACGCCTCACCAATGCCTATATCGTCTTACGATGGCATTGGAAATGTGTTGCCACCTGTTGTTGCCTCATTCCCGCTCGGATCATTCCAATGGCTTCATGACGCTGTGCAGCTGTCAATCTTGGCATGATTTGCTTGTGATATGCTTGTGTCTGCGCCTGAGAAGTTTTGAATTTTTGAATGACCACAGATCATGCTTTCCAAAGTGACAGCGAATTTTGAGTTGCACATGCTGTGTACAGTTGCACAGGATGCACGTGCAGTAACACATTGCACGTCCATAGGCCCCCATCAATGACGTCATATCGCATGGCACGTGCATGAGCGTTTGAATGTCTCCAATAATTGTTGTGTTCAAACCTATATTTCATATATGGACGGTGTGCCCCTATATCTATATTTTCTCCGTACACAGTTTCTTTATGTGGCTAGTATATATATCGTCAATGATAGAGAATAACCAGTCTCAATTTCTCGCCGAAATATATTCCGTTTGGTTTATAAGGCAAAAAAGCCATGACAATTCCATGAATTTGAAATCTTATGTCAGCGTGAAATCTCACTTTCTGTTATTAAAAATAACATTCGACTCAGGATAAGTAGTTTAACTCATGCCATGTTATCATTGTTTTGGAGGTTATCAAAAGTTATGAACATTTAATTAATTCGCATTTGAATTGCTGCTTACAACATTTTTGATGAAGTATTTTCATTTGCTGTTCTAGCCGTTCCGGTTCAAGGTGATGACGGCGGGAGCGCTCCTGCCGCAACAGAAATTATAGTTCAGGCTGACAAGATGGTGGCTCCAGAGGCAGATTTCTTCTTTTGTTTCGCCACAGTGGCGGGGACGCAGGCTCTCAGAAACACCGAGACTGGTTCCTGGTTTATTCAGGCACTCGTCCAATCTCTGCAAGAATCTACAAAGAGGTAATACGAAGGACGGGCATCCCTTCAGATTTTCCACCCTCATCAAGCTGACACGCTGTGATGTAACTGAAATACTGTTCAAAGCGTCAATGAACCCAACCCGATCTAAGTCATGTTTTGCAACTGTAAGGGTGTGCCTACTATATTTATGTTTAGAGTTTTGTGATTGTGTCATTGACTTAATTTCGATAGATGATTATATTCACATTACTTTTCTTCCAGTGATGACCTGGACAGTATAATGACGGCCGTGCGTCAAAAAGTGAACGACCATCAAGTTGAAACAGTTAAAGGGGAGTTTCTCAGACAAACGGCTGAAACGAAGACAACCCTGTTGAAGAAAGTGTACTTTTGATTGGGGTTATTCTATGATAAATTGGGTAGACTGTTATCATTCATTAAACCAATCCGGTAAACGTGGTACCCCCAGCTGATAAACAAGGCCAGCAAGAAGAAGTCATTTTAAGCACCACGCGTCGATGCAATGTCTGTATTCTCCATCTTATATTTTATTTCAGTTCCCAATAGGTTCAGACAGGGCTTTTGCAATGAATGGGTGATTCTGTAGACGAACATAGCTGCCAATCATCTAGCATATATGATACGTGGGGCGTTTCCCCCAAGCATGGTATTCACACGCCATTTCTAAAGTTGCCTCACTGAGCAATACTAGCGTTACCTGAATGGTTATTTTAATTCACGTGCAAGAATACTCTATTTTACCATCAACTCTTTCATGTTCATGGGCTTCGAGTTTCACAATAGCGAACTAACACTGACGCAAATATCTATATATATTGAAAAAATATATTTATTGTTCTCTGTAGTATTTACACAATACATTCCAGTTTGCTCATGGTATTTTTTGTATTTATCCTTTTTTGTTTAACGCATGGATATCCTTGTTGATATAATTGTTCCCCAATACTCTAATGCCATGTTAAGAGTCATTAATGCTAATGTATTATAAATAAAAATACTCAGACGAGGCGTAAATTCATTCTCCTTTTAGAAACGATTTGAGCAGCCAAATAGGTCACAAATTTGCTTTCTATTGTCATATGTCGGTTACAAATGTGTCTTCTGTGATGACTTCGTTAAGCACCTATTGCTTTACTGATTGAACAGAGAACTGTGCTTAGTGAGTCTCTATTTGAGAATGTTAGGCTTGGCACCCATCTCAGACTTCAGGACACTTTCAGTGATGACGTCAAGATTCTGACACATTTCGGTGCCATTACAGATGTGGTCCAGGACATGACACTTGACAGCTGGGCTACACTCATGAGTATCGTGGCTAAACATGTCAGCTCATGGAACTTAACATCCATATTGTATTTGTGAAGCTATGTCACACATCATGTAAATACAGTTTTACGCATCACTTTATTACTGCTTACCCAGTTCAATTTGTTGTATTTATAGTTATTTTGTCATTTCCGTTGACAAATAATGTCATGTAATTGTATGTTCTACTCTCAAAAGCATTGGGGGATATAAAAGTATTCATTCATTCATTCATTATAATAAATGCAACTTGGCTTGTACAGTGTTGTAATATGACAAAGGTCAAAGGGTACAATTTTGAAAAAGGCCATATAAGGCCAACGTTAATGTGTCCTTCTCCTGACGAGTCTACATCATCCTGCAGTGCAAACCTTTGTTAAGTGCCAAAACTAGATTCGTAGGCATAATAGTGATTTCCTATTATACAACATGTACACCAGGCCCGTGAAGATACGGGGTAGCATAGGTCTTCAGCAACCCATACTTGCCATAAAGGGCGACTATGCTTGTCGTAACCGGATCGGCTGGTCAGGCTCGCTGACTTGGTTGATGCATGTCATCGATCTCAATTGCGTTGATCGATGCTCATGATGTCAATCACAAGATTGTCTGGTCCAGATTCAATTACTTACGGACCGCCGTCATATAGCCATGTAAACCATCCCGCCATCTTGTGTATTTACTGTTTGCAAATTTGTACCTCATATGCCGAGGATCCCGGCCTGAGCGTAAATACTGCCCTGCCCTGCCCTGCCCTGCCCTGCCCTGCCCTGTCCTGTCCTGTCCTGTCCTGTCCTGTCCTGTCCTGTCCTGTCCTGTCCTGTCCTGTCCTGTCCTGTCCTGTCCTGTCAGAAGCAGATTGATAGAGACAGTCCTGCCCTGTCCTGTTCTGTCCTGAATGACAGAAGCAGATTGATAGAGACAGTCCTGTCCTGTCCTGTCCTGTCCTGTCCTGTCCTGTCCTGTCCTGTCCTGTCCTGTCCTGTCCTGTCCTGTCCTGTCCTGTCCTGTCCTGTCCTGTCCTGTCCTGTCCTGTCAGAAGCAGATTGATAGAGACATACATTTAATACCACAACAGACCGTGGCATGATGTCATTACCAGAACGTTGACATCACTTCCCAGCGTTACAGCTAGTAACATAAAACGTCAATGACAGATAATTGCCAGTCTCGATTATCCGCCGCAACAGATTCTGTTTTATAGCGGTGAAACAATATGAATGGATGATTGAAAATCAGTGATGAGATCATCAGTTGGCGAAAAGGGAAAAACATGTCCTCATATACCGGTAGAACACGCCACTCACACAAAGTGCCTACCGAAATATTGCTGAGTGCGGTTGGTTTGGTTCGTTTGTTTCTTTAACGCAGCACTCAGCAATATTCCAGCTATATGACGGCGGTCTGTAAATAATCGAGTCTGGACCAGACAATCCAGTGATTGATAGCATGAGCATCGATCCACGCAATTGGGAGATACAATGTCATGCATCAACCAAGTCAGTGAGCCTGACCACCCGATCCTGTTAGTCGCCTCTTGTTAAACATCAAACAATCAAACAAAACCGAAATTTACGTACTACTGCCATGCAAAGGCGACCTGTTAAACCAGACAATCAAGTGATGGGCCAGACAATCCTGTGACACGATGGCGCATTTAGGTATTTTGCTAAAACCAAAACAGTATGTTCATTCCGAATTACGTCTGCTGAGTACAAGTGCAGAGATATTCCTGCTTATAAGTGAAGACAAAGGTTTAAGAAATGTGTTCGTGTATACACCACATGAGTGCTGTGTCGGATCACAGTACTATTTATATTATTGTATTGGTCACATTCACAGCAATAGATCTCGTTTCAAGTTTATATCTGTTTGAATGGAATTTAAAATTATTTTTTTTTAATAATTACACTCTACGGGTACATGCATGCATACCTAATAAACTCATAACACAGGTTAATAGTGTGGATACATATATTTGGGGACCACCAATTGTGTGATTTTGACCTGTACCTAGTGGCAATAATACCCCCGAGCATATTTAGTTTACTTGGACTGAAGATAAGCCCTATGTGCTGATTTCATTCTATAGTTGTTTCAAAATAAAATTTATACAATTGCAAAGTCATATTGTGCTTAGAAATTTTTGTATTTTCTACCTAATATGTGATGAAAGATTTTCTTTCCTCATTAGTAATGTACTTGTCAAGAGACTGGAAGGCTTTGGTACTACAGCATGCTATCCTGGTCGGTAAAAACGAGCTTCATCATAAATAATATGATCACAGTTACACATCCCCAGAAACAATGTTTTTTAATAAATGAGATATGTTCCATCGTGTAAGCCAAATCCTATATGGCCTGGATCATACATATCAGTGACTCGATATAAAACACCAGTCTCTTGATAACCTTACACTAACTATTGACGCTAGACTGAGTATTGACAATGATTTCTGTACACGCAAACCCAATTTCACTACTCATGTTGCAATCTGTGATGGCACACGCACAAACACAAAGAAAAATCAAGCGATCAACCCACAATCATTCATTCTATTTTTGTGCCTTGCATTACCCATCTTTGTCATGCAATCCAATCGCCTTTAATAACCATCTCTATCTATTCCCATGTCATTCATCCGTAGCTCCCATTCGAATTTGTTTAAATTCTTTATCGTAGGCATTTGTGTATTACAAGAACTCACATTCTTAAAGTAATATCTATTTTAGTATCTTACTTAATTCGCCAAGCATGCAGTCAACACAACACAGATGATAACTTGTCCTATGTACACGTATGACACAGAGAGAGACAGATGTATTGTATGTCTTAGTAGTCGGGCTCAAGTAAATTTGAGTAACAATTATATATCCTATTTTGTAATAGTTAATGATGTTTATTTGTTTGTTGTCTAAACCAGCAATCACTAACGTTCCAGCAGCAGAAAGTATCTTGTAATCAATCAAATTGCTAAACAACAATAAAGTATGTTATAACGAACTCAAAGTGACCACTTATTGTATTTCGTTATAACCGTAGTTCGTTATAAGCATATATGAAGCATGTATACAGACAATGGACGGGGCAGAGTTCGTTATATCCCTCAGTTGGTTCTAAGCATGTTCTATATTAACGTAGTTTTCTGTAGTTCGAAACCTGATATGTAAAGTATATCATGCCACGGTCAACATTCCTAGATTTAAGTAAGTTCTTAAAATTCATGGACATCGCCCGGAAGCAAAGTTTCCGTATAAATGAGGTCCGGACTCACCATATTATTCACTGTAAACGAATACACGTCTTTAATCATCTTTGATTTTCAAGTTTACGTGAAAAACATAAATTATCTTCAGTGTGAGCAGTTTGGTAATGTCAGACATAAGATTCCATTGAATATTAACCTGTAAAAAAGACAATGTCAGAACAAAATAAGATAATGACCGTGATTTATCTAATGACGTCAGAAGAATCTGTGCCCGACGAATTGTATTGTATTCTGTTTATTGTTGGTACAGTGTTTGATTTGTTACAATCAATATGTTTGTGATAACAGGTTATATAAATGGGCATTGCAAAAGATATTTTCGTACCATCTTAGTCACGATTTTACACGTAATAGAAATTGCCCCCCTTTCCCGGGGAATCTCTCCGGGGTACATTTGGGCGATTGCCAAGGACCGAGGTGGCGTCCTTTGTGTCTTACAAGTTTAACGCCGCACTCAGCAATATTCCAGCTATATGACGGTGGTCTGTAAATAATCGAGTCTGGACCAGACAATCCAGTGATTGACATCATGACCATCGATTCACGCAATTGGGATACAATGTCATGCATAAACAAAGTCAGCGAGCCTGACCATCCTTTCCCGTTAGTCGCCTCTTACGACAAGCACAGCCGCGTTTTACCAACTATCAAGTGATGGACCAGATATCCAGTGACACGATGGCGCATTTAGGTATTTTGCTAAAACCTAAACAGTATGTTCATTCCGAATTACGTTTGCTGAGTACAAGTGCAGAGATATTGCTGCTTATAAGTAAAGACAAAAGTTTAAGAAATGTGTTCGTGTTTGCACCACATGAGTGTTGTGTCGGATCACAGTATTTATATTATTGTATTGGTCACATTCACAGCAATAGATCTCGTTACAAGTTTATAGCTGTTTGAATGGGAAAAAAATGTTTCGTTTTGTTAATAATTACTCTCTCCGCGTACATACATGCATATCCAATAAACTCATAACACAGGTTAACAGTGTAGATGCATATATTTGAGTACCACAAAACGTGTGATTATGACCTGGGTCCCGTTCCACAAAGCGATCTTAGCACTACGACAATCGTAAGCCAATGTTAAAGTATGGGAGTTACGATCATCTTAGGGCTAAGATCGTTTTGTGGAACGGGGCCCTGTACCTAATGGCAAAATTATCCCTCAGCATATTTAGTTTACTTGGACTGAAGGAAAGCGCTATGTGCTGATTTCATACGATAGTTGTTTCAAAATATAATTTATACAATTGCAAAGTCATTTGTGCTTAGAGATTTTTGTATTTTCTACCTAATATATGATGAAAAATTGTCTTTCTTCATCTCCATGTACTTGTCAAGAGATTGGAAGGCTTTGGTACTACAGCTTGCTATCCTGGTCGGTATTAATAAGATGTTTGATTTGCTATAGTGCAAAGCTTCATCATAAACAATATGATCACAGTTGCCAATCCCCGGAAACAATGTTGTTTCGTGAATGAGATAATTATGTTCCATGGTGTGAGCTGAATCCTATATGACCAGGAACATACATGTCAGTGACTCGATATATAACACCAGTCTCTTGATAAACCTTACATTAACTATTGACACTCTAGACTGAGTATTGACAATGGTGTCTTTATACGCACACCCACTTTCACTATTTATGTTGCATGTGTGATGACACACACACAAACATAAAGAAACCACAAACGGTCAACCCTACAATCACTGAATCTATTTTTGTATCTATGTTGTCGTGCAATTCAAACGCCTTTTATAACCTGCTATATATATTTCCATGTCATTCGCAACACGACCCCAGAAATAGCTGTATATCTATGATCAAGTAGGTAACTCTCAATCGATTTGGATTGATTCTTTTTAGTGTATTACGAGAAGTCACATTGTTAAAGTAATATATTTATTTTAGTATCTTACTACATACGTCAAGCACGAGAATGTATGAGCCATTGCCTACATTCAGCGTTGAAATACCATCCAGCTCATGAGATATGCTTAATGGTCAGGCAACACAACGCATGTACACGTACAGCAGACAGAGAGACTTCAGTTGGTATGTCTTAGTAATTTGGCTCAGGTAAATGTGAGTAACAATTTTATATCCTATTTTGTAATAGGTAATGATGTTTATTTGTTTGTTGTTTAAAGCAGCAATCAGTAACGTTCCAGCAAGTGTGTACAATGCCTTCGCGTATGTCTTGCAGCAGAAAGTATCTTGGAATCAATCAAATTGCTAAACAACAATCAAGTATGGTTATTACGAACTCAAAGTGACCACTTATTGTATTTCGTTATAACCGTAGTTCATTATAAGCATATATGTAGCATGTATACAGAAAATGGACGGGGCACAAAAACAGTTCGTCATATCCCTCAGTTGGTTCTAAGCATGTTCTATATTAACGTATTTTTTTGTAGTTCGAAACCTGATATGTAAAGTATATCACTGCCACGGACAACATTCCTAGATTTAAGTAAGTTCTTAAAATTCATGGACATCGCCCGGAAGCAAAGTTTCCGTATAAATGAGGTCAGGACTCACCATATTAATCACTGTAAATGAATACACGTCCTTAATCATCTTTGATTTTCAAGTTTACGTGAAATACATAAATTATCTTCATGTTTGAGCAGTTTGGTAATTTCAGACATAAGATTCCAATGAATATTAACCTGTAAAAAAACACCAAAAGTCAGAACAAAATAAGATTATTATAAGAAACCGTGATTTATCTAATGACGTTAGAAGAATCTGTGCCCGACGAATTGTATTGTATTCTGTTAATTGTTGGCACAGTGTTTGATTTGTTACAATCAATATGTTTGTGATAACAGGTTATATAAATGGGCATTGCAAAAGATAATTTCGTACCATCTTAGTCACGATTTTACACGTCATAGAAATTGCCCCCCTTTCCCGGGAAATCTCTCCGGGGTAGAATTGGGCGATTGCCAACGACCGAGGTAGTGGCGTCCTTTGTGTCCTATAAGTGGAGCTTAACGTGTGTTATAACGATATGTGCTGAACATGACCTCAGTATCAGTTGCTCTCCTAGTGTTTGTTTCGAATGAAGTTAATGTACCACATACTTCTTAAAAACTGCACTTTACAAGATCTATAAACATGATAGTTCGAATTACCAACGGTATCTTAGATTTCACGCGTCAAAACGGCGACCCGGGTACACATTCTCACATTAGACCAATGTGTGGGGCTTTTTCCTTGTCTCCCGCAGCTATAATGCTGTGATATTTTTAAAAAGCGGTGTAAATATAAATTGTCTATGCAAGAATTAATCAGCCTAGATTTTCTGTCGAAACAGATACCACTTGACACGAGAGTAGCATTACTGATTTTGTTGAAACTAATAAAATAGGTATGCTGATTTTGAATTACGTCTGCTGTGTACAAGTGAAGAGATTTTGCTGCTAATAAATAAAGAAAAACCAAAAGAAATATTTTCGTTTTGCAACACAGTGGATATATCGACATGAGCTGACGAAAACACTATCAGAACTGTGCAGCTGGGCTTCGTACACTAATTTAACCGCTTCCGTGGTGTACTGGATGGAGCGTCTGCCCCGAGAGTGGAAGGTCGGTACTTCGATACCCTCGGCGCGCCATACATTAATACGTTACAAAATGTGAGTTTTTGTTACCCTGACTGGCGTTCGTCATTAATGGGAAAAAAACAAGGACTGGTTGGCTCCGAGTCGAAGTGCAGTATGCATGATAAACTGTGGCATGAACAATGATGGGCTGACACTATAGAACCCGCATTTGTCCGGAATATCAAAAGCAGCCACGCGTATGCCCGTCGCTGTATGTGTGCAATGATCTTGAACGCTACTTTAAAGCCCATTTCAACTCACACTTCGCCTCGCGCTATCATCTAGTATAACCCCTCCTGAAACGGAACGAACAGGTGAAAATATTTACAAGCGTCGACTTTATTTCGAATGATATATCTGAACCGAAGCAAATATATGTGAACTTCATAGTGTCTGTTGTCAATTCTGACTGACATAAATCTCACACAAACGTTATATAGCAGCGTTAAAGTCAGTTAAAGTCAGTTGTGAACACTTTTGTTCTGTATCACAGTTCTGCAATGCCTTCTCACTGACTGAATGCGTCGCTAAATTCGGTATAAACTCTTCAAAACAACGAAACGCGCAGGTAGTATGAAGTTCATTGATCCTGACTACACAACAAATCTGGTATATAAATTGGATTTGTGTTATTGGAATATCTTGATGGTCTGATATTCGACAAACGGTGCGTCATTGTCGATTTGCAATGTTTTAAACTGCATTGTTTTCACACTTATTCAAAAATGTCATGGAGGAAAATAGTGAAGCCAAATGCACGTGCACGTTATGGCATTCGTAACTTGTGGTAGTGGCTACGGTCGGAACATCGCCATAGGACGTATTCAAAGAGGGGAATCGCAGTCTTCTGTTGCACGGCTGCAATCCGACCCAGAAGACTAGTTATCGTCCCTGTTTTGCAACAGATCCATCGACAGCGACGCTTGCGTTGGTGCCATACCTTACAGCCTTCGAATTTGAGAAACTGGAGTCGAGTGTTGTTTTTATAGATGAATCACGATTTCTTCTTCACCGGCGAGATGGAAGACAACGTGTTTATCGTCGTCGAAATGATCGTTTTGCCCTACATTGTGTACTTGAATTCGGCAAATTCGGTGGCGGTAGTGTCATTGTGTGGGGGTCATATCCTTCACCACGAGATCTGACTTGGTTGTGGTTCAGCGAAATTTGAAAGCAAATCCCTACATGAATCAAATTCTTCAACTTCACCTTCTTCCAATTGACCGCCAGAGGGAGCGGTTTCAACAGGACAACGCTCCACCGAACACAGCTCGCGTCACGGCAGACAACCTTCATAATGCCAACATCAACGACTTGACCTGGCCGTCGAGATCTCCAGATCTCAACCCAATCGACCACCTCTGGGATGAACTCGATCGACGAGTACGTCAACGTCGGAACACGCCACAGACACTCCCATAACTGGCCAACGCGGTACCAACAGAATGGCGCAGAATTCCGCAGGACAGAATTCATACACTTATCCAGTCAGTGCCGAGGAGATGCAGAGCTGTGAATTCTGGCCGGGGCGGTCACACGAGATAGTGGGTTCAGCGCAACCTTATGGCCTTATGTGACATGACAATGCCTTTCAATGCATTTGTACAAGGACAACATGTGACTATCGAGCTCCGAAATTTCATATTTGCATCTGTGATCATATTAAATTAAATATATCGACTTAATAAGGTACAATACATTTTCTAAAAATCTACCTCTTTTTTTTTAAGAGTGTACATATACCATCGAACGTATAGAAGCTGGAGAGCCTCAGTCGTCAGTTGCCCGTCATTTCAGCGTCCACAACAGTACAAAATCACGTCTTTGGAACAGATACATGTACCAAAGGTATGAAGCGGAGAGATGCACTGGTGCACTGTAGCACATATGTTAAGAATTCACATAATGTGTTTGTGATTCCTCCTACAGGGTAAAATTGATAGATTCTTTCTTGAATGTGTCCTATTTTTCTTACAGAATGTGCTGAAATACGATATTGTTCAACATGTGAAATGAAATGGGTGAGTACATCAGTTTGAATCCTTTTATACTTGGTAGTGACTAGAAAAAACGAGTATCTTGAGTCATATCTGGTTGATTTGGCCACTGGTGACTGATCTAGTCTCGTGTATTATTTTTATCTCCCCTTTCATATCCAACATCTTGATTAATATTGTTAATAGTACGCATGCATCTGTCAGACTTCCTTCAATGCGTTTCAATGCTGCCGAATTGGAGTGGGTTACCATTGAAATTCCAAATGCTGAAATAGTATAAGTTACACATAATCCATGTACACCCTGCAGGTCATTTAACAAAACTCACAAGAAAGCTCTCACGGCGCAAAGGGGCTAAACAAGGCCAGACGGAATGCCCTGATCAGACGCAGCTGACACGAAAACAGAGTAGGTCATAGTCTACTAGTCATATGATTAGCAATACTATTTCGCATAATGTCAAATTAGCCTCATAGTTACTTTCTTCTGTTTACCTTTTGTGAGAAATATAAATTATATAAGCATATATATGAGGTTCATTGTAAAAAGCTGTAATAGTTTCTAGGCAATGCCTCCGTGGTGTAGTGGATATGGCGTCTCCCCTGAGACCGGAAGCTAGGTGGTTCGAACCCATAGTCGCGTCATACCAAAAGACGTAAAAGCATGGTATTTGATGTTACCCTGCCTGGAGTTCGGCATTAAGGGAGTCAGTATACTGTGTCTGAGTGGGGTGTCCATGTTAAACATGGTATCACGGTGGGCCAGCACTATAAAACCGGCATTATAAGTCCGGACAAGTACAATGCAAAAAGCCACACACATACATGCATGCACGTCGCTGCATAAGCGCAATAATATTGAACACGACGTTCAACCCCATTTCATTTACCTCACCTCACCTCACCTCACCTGATAAAATCATTTTGATTGTTCCAGAAAGGAAACTCGATCGTCAAAATCGGACACAGAACGAAGTTAAAGGTAATTCTTCTTAAGAAAAGTGCAATTTTACTCATACACGAACATGTTTTCGCCATCTGACTTAATTCCGAAGTGATCGTTGGTTGCGTTTCATCATATAATTGACAGTGATGGCATCACCGGCAGGTTCGTTCTCAGATGTTGGAAAGATGTCTCTTTCAGGAATTGGCAACCCCTATTGATTTACTTTTGTTTCTCAATACTATCGATAATTTGTGAAACACCCTACACCTGTGAGTTTATCCTTCACGTATCAGATATATTATCGGAGATTGTTATACAACGTTAACTCGAATATACTTATATAATCTGAATATTTACCGAGTTGAGGGAATACATACTTTTATTACATGTAAAATTATCTAACTTTATACCATTGCATTATCATTAGTCACACCAATGCATTGTACACAGATAAATGACAGCTTTCATTCTTGTCTTAAATTCTTTCCAACAGCTGAACAGACACTATCATGCGAACCAAGTGATGACAGTGACCTCTTGTCAGTAAGTACTAGGCTCACACATATAATTATTTCTTGTGGTAAGCACTAACGTGTATTCATTTAAATATATTAAAGTTAATGTATGAATATATCAGGCTTCTCGAACCATCCCGTTCTTAAATTAGCCATGTAACACAAACAAATAAAGAGACTTTGAATAGCGTATATACCCAAATCGTGTATAATAGTACATTATGATAAAATATGTATTTAAAGTGAACTTCTACTGGGTCATTTGATCTACACTCATTTTTGAAGGGTCACCTGCATGTATGTATATAGGGTGTCAAACAGGAACATATTCCAATATGCATCAATAGGTCTGAGTGCGTCGACAATGTGATTAACATATTGTTTATGCCTATGTGACACTGATTGGGTGTAGAAAACGACTATTTAAAACAATGAAAAGATTGCAGGTGATGGCTAAAGGTACCAACCAAAACATACGCCTGAACGCAACCAGTGGTTCAATCCTTGCACGTCCAATACATAACAAGTAACAGTCAATGTGGTTTATTCCAGCTGCAACTGAACTGCACTCTTTGAAGTTGAAAATACCACGCGTTTTTCAGTATGTTTATCACTAAGTCTTATATACATATTCATGACCCCTCCAAAATGATGCATTTCTTTACTGTCTTTTATTATTGTGTAGCGTCATACCAAAAGATGTTAAAAGATGGTACTTGTTGTTACCCTGTCTGGCGCTCGGCATTAAGGGGCTAAAACAAGGACTGGTCGGCTCGGAGTCAGTATACTGTGTCCTAGTGGAGTATTCTTGTTAAACTGCGGCATGGTATCTCAGTGAGCTAGCACTATAAATCGGCATCAGTCCGGACTAGTACAAGCAGCCACACACACACACACACACACACACACACACACACACACACACACACACACAAGTGCATGCACGTCGCTATATAAGTGCAATCATCTTGGACTTGACGTTAAACCCAATTTCACCTCACCTTATTATCGTGTTGCGTTTACATAAGTCATGTTCATTTTAACAGCCTCCTGTTGACTGTGAGGCATTAACCGACACCCCGACCCGTCAACGAGCCCATTCAGCTGGGTGGCTGTCTGGCCATGATGTTGACCCTCGCGCGAACAGAACGGGGTCATATTGTTGTCACGCACACTTTCCATACCACGCATGCAGCCAAAGCGTCCCTGACATGCGACAGACCGGTAAGAAAACAGGTCTATGGTGTTATTCTACATTATATGGAATTGTGTTTCTAGGTTTCATTGATGGCTTTTATCGTAATTGTATGTCCATATAACATAAAGATATACAAATCATGCCAAAATTGCTGTGATAATCATGATGTCATAATCTGGGTCATTATCAAAATATGTACCCTTTTTATGTCAGTAATCTCTATCTTTCATAATGTTTGAAATAGCCCTTAACTTTCATCCCTAATATTTCATTGGGGAACCAAATTAACACATATCATCAAACATTTGCCTTGTCAGTGCTTTATCATCTTGTTGTGGAGTGGTATATGGTCTGAAATTGTTGAAAGAGTGATAATCCAGGTTTTTAAACGTGGTGATATTTAAGTGAGATTCCTTTTCTTTTCTAGACAGAGGTAAAATATTAGTTTTACAATAATACACCGAAAGAAATATTGTATATATTTTTCATTTCCGCAAAAGATCGGTAACTATAATGGTTACAACAAGGACAATAGATTTCCACGGATTCTCAAGTTTACTTGAAATATTTCCAAATTATGTTCTTTTGTGTTGGCATTATTTACCCAACTGTTCGTTAAGTTTAGATGGTTCTTGTTAAATCTCTAAAAGTTTGACAACACCAAAAGGAGTACAAATTTTGATAATGATCCATCTACAAACAACATGTGGATGAAATGCATACATTTACTTACTTGAAAAAGCTTGTTAATCACGTCTTCACAGGTATAAAAAACAATAGTGGGAAATATAATATTTACAAGCTTGAACATACACTTACATATATTATATGTAAATGTACATTATTTAATGCTGCTCTTGTTGTATGAATGATTTAAACTTGTTTAATGGCTCTAATGTATACGTCTTATTCTCGGCAATAACACACGTTTTATTTCAAACAGAATAAGCAAAACAATGGAAGTTCAGGAACAGTGACCAATAATTCCTAACTGTTTAGAATAGTATACATGGTTGATATACCTTAAAATCTAACCGGCGTTTTGTCGATAGAGCCGTTTTGATAAAATCTCAGTAATGGATGTTAACTTTATACATGTTGTACAGATCCGCCTGTAGCTGGTCCGACAAAACGATGGGAATCAGGTGAGCATGAGACTGTTAGAAACAATCAATAGAAATTAGTTAAAACAAATTATTATACAAGTACATATACCTTTATAATCCGACACCCTGTGTTGGTCTGCTTTATTCGGGTGTTACAAACATCAGGTGTATTGGCTACTCTGCTTACATTTAGATAAACAGAAGCGTCGAACTAAAAACAAAACACCCAAACGCTAGATTATTGATGTTATCTATATGCACACTTTGATGGTGTTTCCAATGGAATCTGGATGTGAATACCCCTTTTTTGCAATAGCCTTTCCTAATTTTCTCAACCAGATCCAGGACAAATAAATGTGACAGGAGTATCTGGGGGAGCAGTAGATACATCATACGCTGCAGGTATTACCAGCGGCCCAGCCCATCAAGGTAAGTTCCGATAATAACGGACCGCCTCCGTGGTCTTGTGGTAGAGCGTCCGCCCGGAGAGCGGAAGGTCCAGGGTTCGATCCCGGGCCGCGTCATACAAAAAGACGTTAAAAAATGGTACTTGTTGTTACCCTGTCTGGCGCTCGGCATTAAGGGGCTAAAACAAGGACTGGTCGGCTCGGAGTCAGTATACTGTGTCTGAGTGGGGTATTCATGTTAAACTGCGGCATTGTATCTCAGTGAGCTAGCACTATAAATCGGCATCAGTCCGGACTAGTACAAGCAGCCACACACACACATACACGTGCATGCACGTCGCTATATAAGTGCAATAATCTTGGACGCGACGTTAAAACCCAATTTCACCTCACCTCACCTCCGATAATAACGTGGATGTTCATGAAAGTAGCACCAATAAATCATTGTGATTCAGCAGCCCAGGTTCACACACTGGTTTACAGTGTCCTTTTATGTTTCAATAGGCAATGTCATTGTCAACAACTACACCCGACCAACAGAAGCAGCAAACAGTTCAGATAAGGACACATATGCTGGTATGTTCTGTACAATTGATATTAATCAACATATATGATAACGATAGCAATAGGCAAGATGTACACTTGTAGGCTGTCCTTTATATAGCATATATGCACATCTTGGAAGTTGCACCAAATCGGTTAACGTCTACGACCCGCATAAAGTTACACTTTACAATGCTTGGATTATGAGAACGCATGTTAATATCTTTTAGTACCACACCATTATTATGAAGTATTTTGGTTACATCCATGCACATGTATGTCCGAAGATTGCGACATCGGAAGTAATATTCCTGCTAGGAACAAAATATATCAAACTAGATTATATTTGTATTTATCAATCATAGTTGGCGGCACTAAACGGTGTATTCTATACTTCGTGTCCTAGATGAAGACCCAAACGATGGCAACACGAACATCAGAAACGAACTGAAGAGGACATTCATGTTCTACAAAGATGACTTTGAACATCTCTTGCAGCAGGCTGCAGGAATCCTTCTGCTGTACATCATCCTGCCCCTGTTTGTCCTGGGATGTATGACAGGACTTACATCAAGTAGTCCACTCATCAAATTTGGGGTGCTTGTTCTGGCAGTGTTTGTTTCTAGGTTCACGGTAGTACATAAGTAGTTTTGATAATTAGTAATATCGTCATGTGTATAAACCTTCATAGGGTTACATACGTAACACAATTATGTACTTCTGAGTATCAGATTCTTGAAAGCATATTTTGTTCAGAAGCCATCACTATCCTCAATGCTGTGAATATTTTTGATTACGCGAACGTGTAAAGGAATTTAAACTGATAATATGATGTTCCCTCAGTATACTCAGCCATCAACATATGTGATATGAACAGTTAAAGGCTTAACGCTACATGCTACATGTGTATATGCATGTGATGAAATATGAAACCATCCAAACAAATCTGAAGTACAAATCATCTGGTATCCTAAGGAAAATCATTTGCCGTTACCTATACCATGAAAAGGAATAATATTATTTTCCATTATTGGAAGGATAATCATGTGAGATAGTCTTATTTATGTCTGTGGTTGGATAAAGATGTTAAAAGGTTTCAACATGACAAAGGTTAAATGCAAATTCTAAAACCATCGTATGTTTGAAATAGGTTAACATAACCGTCCATGGACATATAACATAAGTCACTCACATTCCCCTATCTCGAAAGAGGATGTTTTACATTTTTAACGCTCCAGTCATACAGCATGTATATGTATCAGAAAATGAGCATGATACACTGTAAGTGTCTTACTAAAAGCAAGTCTAGATCAAACTTAACCAAGTCTACTTTCCAAGTCTACTAAATTACAATTAGTTTAAAGGAATGTTTTGTAGATTAAGTGTTAGTCTATGTTATTCTACACAACTAGCTTCAATGAAATAATGTATTTAATTGCCGCCTTTAGCGTTTATATACTTACGTGGTCATGTACTTAGGATCTTAACATTTGGCATTTTCCCTTCAAGGCTAATTCTGATGGTTCCCGTCGTCATTTTCTCTCTCTTTGTCACCAATTAAATAAAAGGTGAGGTCAGGTGGGGTAAAATGGGGTTCAACGTCGCGTCCAAGATTATTGCACTTATATAGCGAGGTGCATGCACGTGTTTGTGTGTGTGTGTGCGTGCGTGTGTGTGTATTGCTGCTTGTAGTAGTCCGGACTGATGCCGATTAATAGAGCTAGCCCACTGAGATACCATGCCGCAGTTTTAACATGAATACCCCACTCAGACACAGTATACTGACTCCGAGCCGACCAGTCCTTGTTTTAGCCCATTAATGTCGAGCGCAAGACAGGGTAACAACAAGTACCATTTTTCAACGTCCTTTGGTAGGACGCGGCCGGGAATCGAACGCCGTGCCTTCCGCTCTCCGGGCGGACGCCCTACCACTAGACCACAGAGGCGGTCACCAATAAAAAGAACACATGGTGATTCCAACGAACTAATACTTCATATGTTGCGCCCCATTGTTAATGTAATATTCTAAGTTACCTTCACTCGCCTGAATGAAACGATGGACACTTACGCGAACGGGGTGCCTGCATTCATTTGGAAAATTAGGAATCAAACAAATTTTATATCTGGGATAAATTATTCAAAGAGGGACATCCATTGAATGTATACTTCTCTTCCTTTTCGCTGCGTTTCAGTTTACAAACATACATCATACTCGCAGGTTACCTGTATGTTGATAAAAGCGGTTTTTTTTAATTTTCGTAGAGTGGAACAGACAAAAGCATTCAAAGCTTGTCTTGTGTTTCCAGGGTTTTTTAACCCCAGGGTTCCCTTCAGACAGAAGGGTTCGCGTTGCGGGTGAAAACCGTGCTATGTACAGATCTGATGGTACACATGTCATTTTGTCATGAACATTCAAATCTACTACAGTGCTTTTTGTGTTCCATGAATAGTTTAGGGGCTTTTTATTGTGGTTTTTCACAGTCTTGGCAGTGGGGTCTTTTTTTCTTACAAATAAGGCCAAATGAGAAAATATCGTAAAAAAACAGATGATACTTCGACAAACTACGAACGACATTGTTGCGGTCTAATGGCTCAAAGTCCTACTGTATGCCCCTCAAATTTCAGTATCTTATATTTTTTACACAGGAGTTAACAAATGGCCATCTGTATCACGTTATGTTTTTATTTGATGAGGGCAGGTTTTATGTCTATGATCTATTGATTAAAATAGAGGCGCCCTTTGAATCCACACTTCTCTTCCTTTTCGTTGCAGGTCAGTTTACTAACATACATCATACTCGCAGGTTAGCTGTATGTTGATAAATTGTATTTGGGGAATTTTCGTAGAATGGAAGACACAAAAGAAGCGTCTCCTGTGTTTCTGCTGTCACCCTTTGATTCCTTTCAGACAGAAAGGTTCATGCAGTGGGTGACAACCGTCCTGTATGCACATTTGATTGTGCACATAACATCTCCCCGTGATACAGCATATTTCTCGTGAACATTCACATTAAAATGTCAATTTCTTACTATGCGTCTTATGTCCCATTAAGGGTTTAGAGCCTTTGTTGTGTTTTTTTGTGGAAGAAGGGTCAAGTAATATTTTGTCGTTCAGACCAAATGAGAAAATATCTAAAAAAACATAGATGATATTCCGGAAATCTAATAACTTAATCGTTGCAGCTCAATAGAGTATTGCATGGTACTCAGATTCACGTATCTTATCTTTTAGACTCTCGATCATGAGTACACAGGAATTTACCTTTTGCTTTCTTTATATGGGTATATTTTCACTTGACGAGGGTAGGCTTCGGACAAGTAATTGTATCTTTATGAACTAATTTTCCCTTTCACGTAATTAAATTCCTAATTCCTATTGTTTACATAAAGTAAGTTTAGTAGTTTATTTGGTACGCTTTATGTTTCGTAGTTCTTTCACGGGAGGGGGCACGGGTGGCCCAGTCGTCTAAGGCGCCGCGATTCGCTGTGCAGAGTTGCGTCCCTTGGGCACGCCAGAAACCTATGAGTGTGGGTTCGAATCTAGGTTTGTCAGCACCATACCCGTGCTCGTGGGTTTCACCGAAGTGGTAAACGTCTGAGACCTGCATCACTTGGGGCTTTCCTCTCACATTAAGCTGACACGCCGTGATATAACTGGAATACCGTTAAAAGCGGCGTTAAACCCAACTCACTCACTCACTCACTCTTTCACGGGAAGTAACATGAAACGCCATCCATTGTTCTGGCTTCACCTTTGGGTTCCTTTCAGAATGGAAGGATCGCGATGAGGATGAAAACCATTCACTGTAATCTTTTAAACACTCCAAGAAATTTGTTTTGAAACCATTTCACCCTGTATTTGTTCCAGTTCGTTAAGTACTGGAATGGTGGTTTGTACGAAAACGTAATTTAGTGGCTCTTAGAATGAAACGGAATTGGTTTGTTTTACACTTTTGGAAATATTCATTTAACTATGTGCTCATATACTTGGCATTACCAGTGACTCATGAATAATGCTTATGTTCATGCTCAACACACATTAAGTGCATGTGTACCAAAGAAATAAATTTCATTATGGGCATACACATGCGGAGATCTCAAGCAGCATGTGTGTATCAAGGGCACATGTGTGCGTGCGTGCGTGTGTGTGCGTGTGTGTGCGTATGTGTGTGCGTGCGTGTGTCCCAAAGAAAGTAATATACACAGTTGTGACTATGGGTTATGGAAAATTTTGATTTTTTTTCTGAGGCCGTTTTGACTTTACATTTGATGCCGTTCTGACATGAAGCCGTTTTGACCTGCTTCCCACAGAACAACACTTGTTCCAACCGTGACGAAATATATAGTATTTTGAAAGAAATATGTGGGGATATTAAAGAAATATGCATTCCTCAGAATAATGTCTTGGAAACAGTGTCCTTAATCGAAAACAAGTTATGAATCTTTGGTCCTTCTGACAACCCCGTTGTTTCGAAAACTTGTAAAAATGATAATATGAATGTTTCTCAAACTAGTATATCAATACAGTATAAGATATTATATATTTCACTGCATAATAATTTCTCACACAAGATTATTCATACGATACATGTTTTGTTAGTTAGATTCAATACTTCAGTAAATGTGCAGATAATTGAGAAATTTGTGTGAAATACCTGCATAGATTTTTTTATGATTTTATTTCTTTTTGGGGTACACAAACAATATGTTTACAGAATATAGTTCACGTGCAATCTTAAATACATACAAGTTACACAATATATCTATAGATGATAATAAACTAAAACTATTCCAGGGTCATATTGTTGGATTGTGCAAGTTCGTGGTTTTAAACGAATAGGTGGTGACAGAGAGATCAAAATGTCATGAACTGTGTGTATTTACATTGTGAATATGATATATTTCTATCGATGTAATATGAATCGGTTTATTCTTGTTTGATGTGTGGGAAAGTTGGTATGGAGTCGGAAATGTTTGATTTGAATATGTTTTGCTTTGTTACAGTTATAATATGATTTTATACATCATTTCGTTTTTGTTTATATCCTTATGATATTGTCAATTTTGAAAATTCTAGTTCTATTCCAGTTAAGTCATTGATCCATTTTGTAGGGTTGTTCGGGGATCGAACCCCGGACCTTTCGCTCTCCGGGCGGACGCTCTACCACTAGACCACGGAGGCGGTCTCCATACCGATGAACTACACATAGTGTAACATGTCCATTACCAATCAACGGGAACAGAGGACAGTTCTGAAAATTTAGAATAACTTCACGGATTGCATTTTTATATTTTTGATAAATCATTTTGTGAATTATTACATGACATCTTATCGTGCTAACTCTGTATATGAATCATACTTCCGAAACGAGAAATGTACTGAATGACGGAGTAAGTCCACAATTAAGATAAAATGGAAAAGGAAAAAATAATGATAAACAAATTTGTAAAACTGCCAAAATGCTGCATTCACCGCTTTCAGCGCATAGTTTAGAAAACTGGAAACGACGTTATTAGAAGTGTAGATACCGCTGTCGACAAGCTTAAGCTAAGTTTAAGTTAAGTATAAGTTAAGTTAAATTAATGTTTAGTTTAAGTTAAGTTCAGACTAAGTTTAAGTTACGTCTAATTCACTGTGCCGGTAAGTGTGGTATGGGGAGGACAGACAGTTTATGGTATACAATCAGTGCCAACTGGTATGATGAGGAGTGTAAGTACTTAAAGGTGCTTTAATATTTAAACTTAGATCGTTTTTAACCCACTGGCCAATTGAACATTCTGGCAGAATTCCGACGTTTAAGAAACGCTTATCATTATTTGTGTCGCAATAAGATTTGTTTTGTTTGTTTGGTTGTTGTTTAACGCCGCACTCAGCAATATTCCAGCTATATGACCGCGGTCTGTAAATAATCGAGTCTGGACCAGACAATCCAATTATTGACAAAATGAGCATCGATTGGGATACGATGACATGCATTTACCAAGTCAGCGAGCCTGACCACCCGATCCCTTGAGTCGCCTCTTACAACACAGAAAGCTATTGGTATAGCATTTTTATCTGTATATATCATCGAATTCTGAGTATCGGCTCTCATAACTTTATATGAGTGGCGCTGTATTATTATTTTTATGTATAACCGTTTAGTTTTTGCATGTTTTTTATGATGTACAGCGGTGAGACGAAAATAAAATATCTGTTTGTCTCTGTCTGTCTGTCTGTCCGTGAAATGGGGATTAAGGGAACGACCAATTGATAATCATATTATTTATATATATTTAGAGAAACCAGTGACTGACCGCCCCCCCCCCCCCCACACACACACACACACGACGACATCGGGACACGTTACGGCGCCAAGCCGCTCGATACATTTAGTCGCCTCTTGACGATCCCGGAATCCCCGAGAAAAACTCATTTGGTAAAATAGGTCTTCAGCACACCATGCTTGTTGTAAGAGTCGACTAACGTGATCGGGTAGTCAGGCTCGCTGACTTGGTTAATGCATGTCATCGTATCCCAATTGCGTGGATCGATGCTCATGGTATCAATCACTGGATTGTCTGGTCCCGACTCGATCATTTACAGGCCGCCGTCATATAGCTGGAATATTGCTGAGTGCGGCGTTAAACACCAAACAAACAAGGCAAACGTCTTAAAAGAGGCAAAACTGACAAGATCGTGATAACAAACTGGAGGATACTTTCTTACCTAGTGTCCCCACATGTCATGGGCACCACTTCAATTAGAATATGAACATTAGCAGTTAGGGTTTAGTTATTTATCATATTTAGCCACAGGCTCATTCAACAGGTTGGTTTCAGATCCGGTGGGCCTTATAATTTTTAAACAACAATCTGAAACCGTTGTGTAATTATCCAATACTAGAATCCTTATGTTCGAGATGTACCATTGAAAAGGCTCAGGCGAGCATCATATCGATGTTAATTGCCGTTGACGTTTGTATATATATATTTTACGAACGCTTCTAACACCATTGATAAGCCGCCCGGATCTTAGTTAGAAATCGCTACCGCCCACAGTTTGTTTTCTATTTTTATTGAAATGTGAATATCTATGCATCAAGAGAGGGTTTAGGATACATAATACGCGAAATTTTATGATAATCAAATCAACAGGAGAATTATTTAGCTTTAAATAAGCCTCCCTGTCAAAGGGAGACAACCGTTAGGGATAAAAACAAAACAAAAACAAACCTGTAAACAATGAAAATCTAAAATAAAACTTGAGTTGTCGGATAGGATATTTATGAGATCATGTCAACAACGTGTATTGATTGATTACCGCATTACGCAGGAGTAAAAACAGCGCACCTATAAACATTCAAAGGAATGAGGAAGTGAATAAGCGCATGTCCGTGTTCAACTGTATCTCACCAAACTGGTTAACCAGGTTGTCAATCATAATTTCGGATTGATATGTCGTAGTCATACGCCGATATCACCGTCACAGTACGAGATAGTGGAATCTACCTGAATGTGCTGGTAAACAAGATACACCAGCTGTCTAACGAGGAGAGGCCGCGGGCTCCGCGTAATTCGGATCCCAACAGCGTTCAACGACGAAATCAACGCTTTCATTAGCAGAGACTACATTTCTCGGATTTTACCTCCACTTTAGAGATTTCAACAGTCGTTGACTACCACTAAACGTTACGTATCCGTAATATGCATTGATCCGAACATACACAACTGACCTATCCGAAATTATTTGGATCCGAAATTACACCTGGATCCGACGACGTGTGTCAATGCGTTCCTTAATCCGCGTTTTCATTTTTCCCAACTGCCTGGGTGATGTGGCGTTTGTCTTCCACAAGATTCCGCCACACAAGCGCATTGTTGTCGTTTTGCACAACCTACAAACATGACTGAAGTAATACATACATATTAGCTTCAAATCGTCATGGGGATAGTTAAGGTATCGGGAGAACATAATGAATGGTACATCATAAATATACATTGAGTGGACTTGGTTTAATGCGGGGTGTTATTTCAGTAATATAAAAAGCGTGAACGAAATGCTCAGACGGTACGGTACCACTTGTAAAAACACCCCACCTCACACACACTCTCTCTCTCTCTCCCCCCCCCCCCCCCCCCCCCTCTCTCTCTCTCTTAAAATAACATACAACATTTACAAACAAGTAAACCCCCTTTCCATACATGACGGACGTTCGTTCCTCTGACGACAGGGATTATTTTCGAAATTCGAGTCATAACCATCTTGACGTCAAACGCTCTGGAAGCATGATCAGCGCTTAAAATAACGGAATCTATGTACAAAGTGGCCACATTATACTGTATCATCGGATTCCTTTATTCTAAAAATGATATTATTTTGGACAACGATTAACTTGAACAACAACTCGAAAACACTTATGAAATAGTGATATGTTAGTTTCACCCATATGTAATGAATGAAATAAAATTTAAAAAGACACTCATCAGAAATCATGTTAATTTAATCAATTCATAACGCTGATTGTGTTAGATACATCAAGCTATGAATGGGTCAATACACATGTTGTAAGAAACATTTTCCTTCGGGAATAATAGTCATGCAAAGAAATAGACACACGTAGTATATTACATACTACTTA